GTCATGTGCATATAATATTCGTAATTTTAATTCATCAAAAAATGATATTCATATTGAGTCAATAAACTCGGTGAATTGAGAGATGATATTATTTGTATGATGAAAATTAATTATTAAAGGAAATCATGTCCTGGTATTTAAATGGGTTGATAATGTCTTCTTGAGGAAGCTTATAAGTTTTGTCTATGTCAAACATTGCAGGTGGATTTAATTATCCGACATGATAAAGAAGTTGAGTGGTAAGGTCTAAAGGAATAAAAAAAGTCAATTAAATATAACTGTCAATAGTTTATTTAATTGATAGACATCTGTAATCTTAAACGTTTGGAGATTATTAAACATATAATAATAAGGAGCTCGAATATAATTTTAAGATAAAGCTCAGGAGATCAGTAATAAATTTTTAGTAGACTAACTTATTATTAATAGGTTGTAGGATATTTGTTATGAGTTGAACATAGAAATCATAATCCCATTGAAAGCTCAGTTTTTATTTCTCCTTAGGGTTTCTGTCGTAACCTATATATAAATGTCTAGACTCTCTAAATTAGCATCAATTCATTACTCACGTTTTAAGAGAGACTGAAAGAGAGCGTAGAAGTTTGGAGGTTCTTGCAGACCACATTACATCCGAATTTTTGACGTTTGGGGATATACGATAAAAAATTGTGAGGTTCAGCGAGCTACCTTCTGCATTTATCTTTTATTTTTTGAGTTCTTGCTCAGATGAGATCAAACCATAGTGATCTCGAAGGTAAACCTTAATTTTGTTTTATAGGGTTTTAAAGGAATTTTTTTTTGTATTCGATACATATAGACAGTTAATAATTATAGGAATTTTCGTTCCAACACCACCACCGTCGCCCACAAGCACTCATTGTCACCCACCACCATCATCGTCACCGCCCACCATCATAACCTATCACTACCCCCACCACCGTTGCCGCCTCATCACCATCACTATTGCCCACCACCACTCACACTCATCACCACCACCGCCGTCACTTATAGCTGTCACTACCACAATCGTCACCCAAAACCCACCACCACACCATCATCATTGTCATACCATGGTTGCCACCATCACTACGGTAGTCATAGCCCACCACAACCATCACCGTCCTTCACTGATGCCACAACCATTGCCGCCCACTACTACTACAATCGGTACTTAAATTTATTTATCTTTCATCTATGTTTGTGATTTAATTTTCAGTGTGAATACAAATATGTTTATGATTGACAATTTTTTATTACATCATGCCTTCAAACATGGATAATAACTAGTTATATCTATATTAGATCAAATCCATCATTATATTTGGTTTATAAATTAGCTTTCAACTCATTATGTCTCAAAATTATGTTCCTCAATTATGTCTCAATAGCGTTAGTGAATAAAAAACTATGCTTTCACATCTATTTTTTTAACAATTCAATCAAATATAAAATAAATATTTTTAAATACATTGTAACCATAAAAAATACATCTCATCAACCATTCAAATTAACAACATATAATGTTTACAAAATTAACCAAGGAGATCTCCTCACCTAAGGGTGGACATATCCATAAATTGTATTACATATCCTGTTCGGCAAAAAATATCTCAACCCTCCTTGGGTTTCATTTAACTCATGTTGGTGGGTTAAAATTGACTTTTCAAATCGAGTCAGGATAAAAATCAACATGAGATTTTCTATGCATTTTTTACTTACCAAATGTGGGATATATGTGCTCTACATGTTTTTTTTATCATATTTTACCAGAGCTATCCATCTTTAATCCACAATTCGAACATACCCTTCGGGTGTGTTTGGATGACAATGTTGGACTGGATTGATGATCTAAAAAAATATAATTTCCTATCCAACTCAAATCCACCTATCATTGGACTCGTTGGGATTTAATGTCAATGGGACCCATGACAAAGGGAGATGAAATATGGTATCATTGGCTATTTTGCCTCTAATCTATCAAATCTAACACCATGTTTGATTTATAAATTAGTCTTTTGACCAATTTCAAATAAAATTTTCTTACATGTAATTTTTAAATAAATCTCATAATTTCATGCCCTTTAGACGGATTTTCATATGTTACAAGGACTATTGAAAATTAACTGAAGTTTTAATTAATTAGTTATTTTATTATTAGTTGTTAATTAATGTTAGTCCAAATAAGATATTTCTTTAGTAGAGTTAGTTTATTATTTAAATTATTTGTTTTGTTGAAGAAGATATTTTGGTCTTTATATATGTCAGTAGAGCCTTGTTTTGACAAAATAGATTTATTAAAAAAAATTAGGTTTTTAAAAAAATAGGAGGATGAGACGAATGAGAGAGAGAAAGAGAAGAGAACAAGATAATTCGATCATTTGCATTAGTTATCCTAACCAAAAAAAAATGCTAGTCCCCTTGGATTTCAGTTAACCCATGTAAATTGGTTAAACTTGACTTTTCAAACTGAATTGGGATAANATATCCATAAATTGTATTACATATCCTGTTCGGCAAAAAATATCTCAACCCTCCTTGGGTTTCATTTAACTCATGTTGGTGGGTTAAAATTGACTTTTCAAATCGAGTCAGGATAAAAATCAACATGAGATTTTCTATGCATTTTTTACTTACCAAACATGGGATATATGTGCTCTACATGTTTTTTTTATCATATTTTACCAGAGCTATCCATCTTTAATCCACAATTCGAACATACCCTTCGGGTGTGTTTGGATGACAATGTTGGACTGGATTGATGATCTAAAAAAATATAATTTCCTATCCAACTCAAATTTACCTATCATTGGACTCGTTGGGATTTAATGTCAATGGGACCCATGACAAAGGGAGATGAAATATGGTACCATTGGCTATTTTGCCTCTAATCTATCAAATCTAACACCATGTTTGATTTATAAATTAGTCTTTTGACCAATTTCAAATAAAATTTTCTTACATGTAATTTTTAAATAAATCTCATAATTTCATGCCCTTTAGACGGATTTTCATATGTTACAAGGACTATTGAAAATTAACTGAAGTTTTAATTAATTAGTTATTTTATTATTAGTTGTTAATTAATGTTAGTCCAAATAAGATATTTCTTTATTAGAGTTAGTTTATTATTTAAATTATTTGTTTTGTTGAAGAAGATATTTTGGTCTTTATATATGTCAGTAGAGCCTTGTTTTGACAAAATAGATTTATTAAAAAAAATTAGGTTTTTAAAAAAATAGGAGGATGAGACGAATGAGAGAGAGAAAGAGAAGAGAACAAGATAATTCGATCATTTGCATTAGTTATCCTAACCAAAAAAAAATGCTAGTCCCCTTGGATTTCAGTTAACCCATGTAAATTGGTTAAACTTGACTTTTCAAACTGAATTGGGATAAAATCTGAATAGGATTTCTAATACATTTTTTACTTACCGTAGGATGGATTTAGATCATCTCCATTACCCCCCTTCCCTTGAATTTTCCTCAATGTAGTGCTAAATAAGTGACATCACTGACATGTGTAAGATTTTGAATTTCAATTGACATGATTTTTTCTCATTTATTTTATTATTGGTGGAGTGTTAACCATTATTAAGGAATTTTCTTACAAGGAAAAAATTGTCTATTGAAATTCAAAATTTTATATATGTCACTCATCTAGCACTGTATTTAAAATTTTATATATGTCACTCATCTAGCACTGTATTTAGAGGAATTGAAGGAAAAAGGTAATATAAGGGATCCAAATCCCCCTCACTTAATCATTTAGATCTCATGACATTTGAAATATTGCATACAGACCTCCTAAAATTTGTACGCACGTAATATTTACACCCCGTCGTCAATGTCTATTAGTAAATTACATCCAGAACCCCTTAAATTTGTAGGCATGCAATACTTAGATCCCTCAAGTTTTAAATGATATATTTAGACACAAAATACAACAAATAAAAATAGAATATCAAATATTTTAAATTTTATAACCAAAATTAATATTCTATTATAACATTTATTGAAATAAAATTTAAAAATAAAAATCTAATTTTTTCTTAAAATTATAATTAATATATAACTATACTATCTATTAGAATTTAATTTAGTTGTTTAAACGACTAAATTACCCCAATGAAAACTAAAATATATTGTGTTCATTATCGTTTGACCCCTTATTTAATTTTTTAGTTTTATTCCAATAGCTATAATTATATATTAAATATAATTTTTTTTTTAAAATTATATTTTTATTTTTGATTTTATTTCAATAAATGACATAATAGAATATAAATTTTGATCGTAAAATTTCATGTTTTATTATGAATAATTTAAACATCTTATTTGATTTTTTAGTTTTATTCCAATAGATAATATAATTGTATACTAATTACGATTTCTTTTTAAAATATTGACTTTTTATTTTTGATTTTATTTCAATAATGATACAATAAAACATGAATTTTAGTTATAAAATTTGAAATCTTTTATATTCTATCTTTGATTCGAGTATTTTTTATCTAAATATAATATTTTAAATTTAAGGGATGTTATTATTATACTTCTACAAATTTTAGGGAGTCTGAACAAACATTTGACGACAAGGTCTAAGTGTTACCCACATATAAATCTCAAAAGGTCCGTATATAATATTTGAAAAATTAAGAGTTTGAATGAGTAAATGAAACCTCGAAAAATTTAGGGGTAATTCTACCGATTTTTTTAATCACGATTTATTCCCTTTAAACCCCAGTCCAAACATACCCTAATACGTAATTGTCGAAGGTTTATATTTGAACGGATTGGACTTGTATATGTTTCACAATNCCCTTTAAACCCCAGTCCAAACATACCCTAATACGTAATTGTCGAAGGTTTATATTTGAACGGATTGGACTTGTGTATGTTTCACAATTGAGTCAAGTTTCACAATCGACAGTCTCTCTCTCTCTCCTCACACACACTTCTTCACAGCAGAATCTGGAATTTGGTGATCTGAATCCATCAAAGATGGAGGAAGTCAAACGTGTCGATGGGGAAGATGTATCATCAGCACAAGCTGTATTACTTGGAGCCCTTGCTCCTGGAGTTAACGTCCGTACAAGTTAACCGTTCTACCATCAATTCATTTTTACCCCCTAAAATCCCTCTAACATAGAAGTGATCTTTCGCTGTTTCTATTTCAGGGTCCAACCTGGAGTACCCTAAAAATAGCATTTTTTATGCTGAGTCTGTGTCTAGCTGCTATGTTGGGATTGGCTTTCTCTGCTAGTGACTCTGCTTTGATACTTCATGTTACCTTCCTTGTTCTCATCACTGGGACCCTGTTCTTGCTTCTTACCAGGTATGACATTTTTTTTTTTTGGGTGATATTTGCAATCTTGAGTTGAATTACATTTGTAGTTTGTTCACAAGTTGGAAGGGTTAAGTGAAACCGTAAAAGTAAAAGTATAGAGGGGTGAAGTGAGATCGAGTCTTAGTTCAGTGGGGATTTTTGTTTACATGTACTTGTGCGCACTTGTATGAATTGCTATATATGTTTTTGCTGATAGCACTCAGGAATTGGTTACTTGTTTAGCTGGATCTTTGTGTATATTTGATTATATTGTTTGATTGGAGATGGGTAGTGTTTTGATTTGCTGTTAATGTGAGCTAATTTTGTTTCTAGTTATGTAATTATTATCAGCTTATGTTTCAGTCAATGCTTTGTATGTCACAATTTAGGCGCGGTTTGTGTTATGCAGACCAAGAGAAAAATAAAGGCATCTTCATATAAACTTGCCTTTATATTTTGTATTTTGTATTTTTTTTGGTAAATAAAGGATTTTATTCAGATAGGAAATGAAAGCTTTACAGCTAAAGGGGAAAACAAGAAAATCCCTTTGAACAATTTTTTTTTTCATCTCAGGTCAAGACACCCTGATGTGAAAACAGGGATGACAGTTGATCGGGGCAGGGGCGGGGGGAGTAGTCTCTACTCCCGTACTCATTTCAAAAATATTCGTTCAACCCCGGTCCACCCCTGTTTGTAGGGAAAATTTTAATCCCCGCCCCACAGGTAAATTATGAAATTTTAATCCCGGCCCCAAAGGTAAACTTTGACCCCCGTCCCAGCTACCGTTCTCATCCATAATAATTGCTATGATTTTAAGAAAAAAATTGAAAAAAAAATATATAAAACCTCACTAATGGAAGAAACCCTTTTATATAACAATTTTTTTTTTGGTCAACATTATATGACAAATGGATAAAAAAAAATAGAGAAAGTAAAATGTTTTCTTTTTTTTGGGTAAAGAGAAAAGTGTGTGGGTGGTTGGAGTTTGTAATATTATATATATATATGTATTAATAAGTGGATTGGAGGGTGGATCTTTTTAATATTATATATATATATCATGGATTTACCGAGATAGGGAGGGGATGAGTTTTAGTTCATCCCTGCCTCCTTCTCCGCACGGGTTATACATATATTTCTATATACGTTCACCATCCAATACATATGGCTTATACGGGTTTGGATGAATATTTATTTTTTTCCATCCACTGACATCCCTAGGTGAAAATTAAAGCCTAGTTTGTACCAAACTATACCAAACAAAACAAGAATCCATGAACAACTGTTCTCTTTCACACGAAACTTGTTTTCCAGCCTTGCCACTCCTGCTCCAAAAAGAATTCCAACTGTAGTAAAGATGTTTCAGCTGCCACCATCACTGCAGTTCAATGATCATCGTAGATTATTATCCATTCACTCTGTTTAGCAGCAATAAGAACATCAAATCAATTCCCAATTTTGTAGAGTTCTTCTGTCCCTTGGAGACAGATGGATCTGCAACGCAGATATCCTCCCTCGAATCATGTTTAGTATCACCTGTATCACTGTATCAGAATTCTTGAATATATTACCAAATATTCTTCCCCGTCCAAGTATTGGCAGCTTTAGCAATCATGTTTTCCCAAGATAATACTGACATAGAAGAATTACATCTATTAATAATAGAACCCCAAACCCCATATGAATTCGAACATTGGAAAAATAGATGGCAGTGACCTTCAGGAGCAAAATTGCATAATACACACTGGATATCAACTCTGTAACAATATGATTGCAATCTGTCCTTAGTACAAAGTTTACTTTTGAATGCTAACCACTCTTTAAAGCTCCACCTTGGAACTGCCTGATTAAACCAAATAATATGATACCAGCTAACAAGTAACAACACCAAGGTGTTCCCTAATAGCATTCCAAGCAGATGTAACAAATAATGTCCATTTGCAGATGGAATCCATTTGATAGCATCGTTCCTATCAGCACATGGTTGGTAAGCAAGCATAGCAGTTTGGATTTCTCTAAGTTCATCAGAAATAGCAACAGGCCAACCCCATTGATTGTCTTGGATAATGGAACTAAGGACCCCAAAGGAAAACCAGAATCATAAACAGCTATATGTGACCACTGGGTGAGCAAAGCCCCCTGTGGATGCTAATTATCAAACTACAACCTTGTATTAGTCCCATCCCCAATAACATGTTTAATTAAGGGTCTAACCATACTTTTTTTCAGCCAATTCCAAGAACAAGTATGTGAGGGGTTTTCACCTCCCAAAAGGTTCTGTTTTTCAGGTAATTGGCCCTAGTCCATTGAGTCCATATACCACTATCATCAGTAAAAATATTCGAAATGTACCTCAACATTAAGGCTTTATTCCACTCAGTCAATTTTTCAATACCAAGCCCCCCTTCCTTCTTTGGTTTGGTGAGCTCTTCCCAAGCTATATTAGAATTGGTAGCTTTTAGATCAGGTCCAGACCAGATGGAAACCCTTAAAAGTTCTTCAATCCTCTTCAAGACATTTAGGAAGGATCAAATGACTACACCAAATGGTCACATACTGCTTAATATTGCTTGAACTAACTGTACTCTCCCAGAATATGAGAGGGATTTATAAATCCAACTCTTGATTTTCATTTCCACCTTTTTAATAAGAAAACCACAATCTAATGCTTTAAGCCTGGTGGATATAATAGGCACCCCAAGATATTTAATAGGAATACTTCCCTCATCAAACCCCAAACAGTCCTTAATTTGTCGCTTAACCTCTTCAGAAACCCCAGAAAAGAAAATCTGGCTTCTAGAAGGGTTAGCTAAGTCCAGAAATGGCTTCAAAGTGTTCAAGAGAATCATGCAGCACATAAGCAGAGTGCATATCACCATAGCTGGACATGCACAAGTCATCTGCAAAACATAATTGTGATTTTCAATATATTTTGTATTTTGAACGTATGAAAACTACCAAAACGAAATTCGAAACAATGACCGCGATTGTGGATATTTATTCTAGAGGATCCCTAATGCATTGTGATTGGATTTTCCTGCAGATTTCTTGACCAGACAGGCCTGGTTTCGGTTGAACATCAGATGCAGGAGATGGGTTTGGCACCCAAAGATAGTGGAGAGAAAAGCAAAAAGAGCAATTGAAGATTTTTAACAATACAATATCATTACATCAACAATTTTTAAAGGAGAAGACATCAAAGGGGCCATGGTAACAATTTGGATGGAGATGATAGGTACAATTCTTATTGTATTCCTTGAGAAATGAGCAGACAACGAGGAAGCAGAAAATATGAACTGCTAACTGCTAACAAATCATGACCCCTTTTTTCATATTTCATGAGTCTCCTGTGGTCAGCTAATTGCATCTCTCATGCAGCCTTTGGATCCTTCTCTTTTGGTTTACTCTTCTTCTGCTTAATGAAGCAGAAACATGAGCAGCAAGGAAACTGGAACAACAACTTCATGTCTTCGGTTTTTACAATGATATCAAGGGCCAAAACAACCACTTTGTATTGAGAGTTGCAACCCCTCTTAACCTATTTATATTTGCTTTTATGTAACTTACAGTAGATTTTATACCAATTCATTACAGATAAAAAGATGCCTGGCTTGATCGTTGCCATGATGGATTGGAATGAACTTTCTTGTGTCTTTATGCAGGGCATATTACGATGCGCACTGGAAAAAGTAGGTTCTTTTCTTACTTTTCCTTGCGGTAAGATTTTTTGGTAAGCCAGCAAGAGTTCAAAATCTATAGCTCATAGAAGTCTTTGGGCTTAGACAAACTAAGTAGATCAACCCGGAAGGCCTCTTTGAACAGGGCATTTTATTGGTTCTTGTGGGCATTTATAGTAATTTTACACAAAACATGAATTTTCTGAACACTTTTTTCACTCACTGATATTGTCATGGAGAAATTCAAAAATTGGGAAAATGCTGCACCAGAAGCATTTTTTGATTATCAATAAATTGTTGTTTCTTATCGGTAAAAAAAAGAAAAGAAAAGAAAATGGAGTTGTAGGCAAGTCTTGTTAAACCTCTGTGCTTAAGGAACTTGTAACTTTGAGTTATATAGAGTAAGCAGCTGGATCCAAATAGCCCTTCCTTTGCTATGCTTTTACCGAAAATTAGATTCAGATTTTTTTTTCTTCTTTTTCTTCATACCACAAATGAAAATGTCATCCATATTCACTAGTTTGTGTGAATGGTGGATTTCTTAGTCTACAAAAATGTCGTTTTGAGGACAAGAAGATTTAAACTTGTATTTAGACTCTAGAGGTGTCTATGGGCCGTGGTGGGCTCGGCCTTCGAATTTTTTTTTGGGTTGGGCTTGGCCTGAGTTATTGGCTAGGCTGTGCCGGTGCCGGCTTTGAGTAGGGATAAGTTGTGCGTAACCCAACCTGTCACTCACTAGATGAATCTTGTTATTCAGCCTGTTGGGTGGGTTTGTTGGACGGATTTTTTTATATACAATTTCATTTAAGGCAGTTAACTGTCACGTCTAATATTTTTATACGTGGAGTTTTACCTATGTTATATACTATATGGTATTTTTTTGTATTTTAAATTATTTTTTTTATACATAGTTCCAAATGTCTTAAATCTATTTTCAGAACCTATTATATAATAAATAATATTTCTAAAATTATCAATTACAAATATAATATCATATAGACCACTTTGTAATATGATATTTATGATATGATACATGCATCTCATATGAAAAAAAAAATAACTTCACATGGTAAAGTTAACTAACATTTTAAATGATTTACAACTCTGCTATTATTTATTGAATGATTTAAAGTCATAGTAAAAATTTTGTTTTGAATATGATAAATTTGTAACTAATTATAAATACCTTCAAAAATAATTTGTGCACCCAACTTTTTTCCACCTACCTATCAAACTTTTTCAAAGTTTCAAATTTAATGTGTCTAACATTTTTTCAAAGGAAGTGTTGGCGGGCTAGGCGGATTCTTGGGAAGGTTTTTGTGAGCGGGCTATTAGGCTGGGTTTTCGGGCCAAGTAATGGGTTTGGGGTACGCCCAAGCGCTTCCTTGAAAGATTGGACTCGGGCTCAGGTGGGTCAACTATCGTGTTTCGAGACTATTGTTTTAGCCCAGGTAATGGGACCCATGGATAATCTGGCCCATGGACACCCTTACTTGTATTGATTGAGATAATATTTATTACAACGGTAATACGACGTTAATATTATCACGTAATACCATCTATATAATAAAATACAATACAATATAATACAAATTAAAAAATAAATATAATGATTTTAACTTTTTGCGGTTGAGATCTTTTCAAATTTTATTTTAAAGTTAATCCAACGACTAATATTAATACTCCAAATTTAATAAAAAAAATATGTCTCTAAATGTGTGTTTGGACTCTTTAGAGTGACTTTTTAAAAGTGTTTTTATGACTTATAATTTCTCATAAGTACTTTAAAAAAAAAAGTAGTGTTTAGAACTACCCCACCACCACTACTAACACCACCACCCCTACCGGTCCACCACCATCACCCCCACCACCACTGTCGTCGTCATCCCCTCCACCACCTCGACCACAACAACCACCAACGCCACCGTCGCTGCCACCACCCTACCACCACTGCTGCCGTCATCACCACCATAACCACCATCGACCCCCCACCACCACCTCTACCACAACAACCACCACCACCACCGTCGCCACCCCACCACCACCTTTACCGCATCAACCATCATCACCACCACCACCACTATCACCACTGCCGCCACCCCCATTACTACTATCCCCACTATCATCACCCCCACTCTTACCCTCACCACCCCCACCACCACTGCCATTGCCCCACTTCCACCCTCACAATCATCAACGTCATTCACCACCGATTGCTACCACCGTCGTGTATCACTATCACCTATCATTATCGTAATTTCATTTTTATATTTATCATCACTACCACCATCATCANATTACTACTATCCCCACTATCATCACCCCCACTCTTACCCTCACCACCACCGCCATTGCCCCACTTCCACCCTCACAATCATCAACGTCATTCACCACCGATTGCTACCACCGTCGTGTATCACTGTCACCTATCATTATCGTAATTTCATTTTTATATTTATCATCACTACCACCATCATCACACTACCACTGTCACCCATTGTCGGTACCTACCACCACTATTGTTGCCCATCATTACCGCCAGCCATTGTCACCCACACCTATCACCTCCACCGTCATTCGCCACCACCCATCACACTATCATGCAGAAAGCACCCATTGTCTCCCACCACCATCATCGTTCTAAACAACGTCTGCCACCATCACCACGCCATCGTCACCCATCATCACGGGTGTCGCCACCCACTATAATTCTCACTGTCTCCCACCACCATTACTACCGTCCACCACCACTATCACCGCTCACCCCCACTACAACTGGTTCTTAAATTAATTTATCTCTCATTTATGTTTATGATTTAATTTTAGATTTGAATACAAATATGTTTATTATTAATTATTTTTTTTATTACTCTATGCTTTCAAACACGGGTAATAACTANCACCACTATCACCGCTCACCCCCACTACAACTGGTTCTTAAATTAATTTATCTCTCCTTTATGTTTATGATTTAATTTTAGATTTGAATACAAATATGTTTATTATTAACTATTTTTTTTATTACTCTATGCTTTCAAACACGGGTAATAACTAATTAACCAATAATTTACAAACAAATAAGGAAATGGACCTTCACACAAATTAACAACTACCCTTCCATGTAAGTCAATAATTGCCCATTTTTCTTCCATGTAATCCAATAACTACCCAAGTGCAATTTATGTTACTCATTTGGTGTTTATCATTGGTTGGTGATATCTTGTGATAATGTTGACATGATATCATCATTGACATTGAATATTTACTTGTATGTTGATGAATTAAAATAAAAATAGTGTACCCTTGAGGAGTAAAGACTAAGTGTAAGTGTAACGATTACACTACATCAGAATTATCACATAGTGTAATCACCCAATGATAAACAAACAAATGGACAAAATGGATCATACTTCTTCAAATAATCACCTCTATCTAAGATAGTAACCTTCACATATTCAAAAAGTGGAGTTCACTTACCCTCTTATTTGTTTATTATTGAGCAGTTTACACCAAAATGACAATACTGACGTAGTGTAATTGTTTCACATAATATTAAATACCCCTTCATATAAGTCAATAATTATTCACTCTTCTTCTGTGTAATTCAATAATTATCTAAATGATGCTCACCTTGCAATTTTTAACATAATATCACTCTTATATTAAATATTTACTCATCTTAATGTATTAAAATAAAAACAGTACATCCTTGAGAGTTGTACTTGAACTAAACCTATTTTTCAGACCAAAAAAAAAAAACTAAACCTATTTTTATGTGCTGCACTACTGTCATATTGTTTTGAATAAGTAGGATAACTTATACACGAAGGTACAGTGTAATATGAGTAATTTTGAGAGGGATGTTGATAACCGTTGAAAGAGTGTATTTGAGACCATCAAATAATGTAATTGCTCAAGGTTATAAGTCCAATCCACGGTTGACCCAAAAAGAATATAGTTTTATGGCTGGATGCACGTATTTGGAGTTTATTTTGCAACAATGAATCCAAATAAAATGTGATTGGAATGATTTAGGACTTGACTACGGTATCCAAAAAAAAAATTTGATACCGTACTTCCAAAATTTACTATTTTAACAAGTGTTTTTATTATTTTCATGGGTCATTTTATAATTAAAAAATTTATTAATTTTATAGATGATTTATCACATTTGTAGATATGTATACCACTGAAGTGGTAATTATTTTTATAATTTTTCTTCAATACTACAACAATAATAAAAACGCTTATAAATATAATAAATATCGGTATAATATCAATTTTTTTTTCGGTACCGTTGACAACTCCTCGATATTAAGAGGAAAAAAATGTTGACATATAATTATTGTAACATAATAATGGCTTTGGATTAAGTGTTAGTAACCTACCTATTTTGACACACAAATTGCAAGTCATTGTTTTAATGATCCTACATAGATGTCTATCTTACTTTAAATTCGAAAATCTGGAGATTAGATTCAACCATGAATCCATGATTAATATACTACAAATTTTGGTAATAAAAAAATTGATGCCATAAGATTTTTTTCTAAATGTGGATTTTCCTCATATCCAACTATAGTAAACAATAATGGTAGCTAATATGTATATATATACAAACAACATTGAGTAAGTTAATTATGAGATAGGTGAATCTCATTTCACATTTAATTTGAGTTCATTTTTACAACTTGATTTCACGGTACCAATAAGCCATCATTTATTTTTTGTGGGGTAATTTCACGGTACCAAGAAAAAAAAAAATTCAGTCTTATACCGAAAATTATTACTTTTGGATGATTTTAAAATTGAGCGATTGCATCTAACCCAAAGCCTCCCTCCTTTTGTACATGAAATTCATACATAAATTATCTCAAAACTTTTGTTAGGTAAGTAGCATAAATATGTGGGACCCACAAATTAAACACAATAATAACTAAATATTTATCATGTAATTGACTAAATTTATTCGGAGTAGAAAAGTCATTTTAATATTATATCCTAAGTTGGTTGGTTTTGTTCAAACTCATATTTATGGGTTTTATTTTTTCGACAAATTACGAGCCGAGATATGAATGACGAGTTTAAAAGTCCTAACCAAATATGAAATTAAATGGTTCATTGGACTATTTTACGTGAACCCACCCACTAACCACAAGGGATTGTCAAGATTCGAACTCAAGACATCTGAGTTCAGCTATTAATTCGTTTACTAGGCATACTAATGCTGACTTAGTATAATCATTAAGTCGAGTATCTATTCCTTTTTTAACTCAAGCACATCAAATAAATAGCCCTTTAAAGGTGAAGTTGCAATCGTTTGAGTTAACTTTATGATCGATCATTAAATGTTACGATACACTACGAATATTGATCAGTATCTTCACCTTTAAAATGTGTAATTTAACCCAAAAAAATGATAAATTTTAGTATGGTATCGATTTCTGTAACGTAATCTTCCTTCTTTTTGTTTTTGTAACTGATGCAGAAACAGTGTACTTATATTTTATGGAGGGAAAAAAATAGAGTTGGATTATCATAATCTCTTTACGTTTCCTTAAAATAATGAAACTCCAATTTACTGAGGTTTTGTCATTTTGACAATAGGGACAAACCTTGGAACCAATCTTTGTCTCCTTGTCAACTAAAAAAGTAAAATGGATTTGTCTCATTTTACTTTAAAACTTGGTATTCCCAAACTTAAATAAAAGTGCTTTTCCTTCAATTTTCGTAACGGGCGTTACAAGCGCAAAAAGACGACTACATTTTTGACGTAAATTTTTTTTAAAAATAAATATATTTTTTACTCTTAATAATTATTTTTCCCTCTTATTTATTTTGATTATTATTTAAAATTCACTTAAATGTAAAATGAGGAATTTAGTAATTTTTAATTTTTTCATGCATATACAATTACGAAAAAGTTGAAATTCGACTTAATTTATATTTATAAATGATCTAAATATTCAAGTGTCATGTTATTATAATTCATATCATATCTGCTTTAATATTTACAAAAAAAAATATTTATTATATTACCCATGTTAAATATTAATTTATTTTATTTTATATATATATATATTAATTATTGTTATATATATATATATATATATATATTTATTAATTATATTACTTTTAATTAATTTTAAAATTGACAACCCTCGAAAGATCTCAACCCGGTCTTTTCTTTTCACACTACACCCTTTTAAGGTGTTGTTATCCCACAAGTCCACTACTATATAATGCTTCAGCTCTAACTCACTCACTCTCTCGCTGCTTCTATCTCTCTCTGTACGAAAACCAGGTTTGTCGTTTGTTCTTTTTCTTCCGTTTTTCTTTTGCATGGCACTAACTTACCTCTCAGCAAACGAAGGTATCCCCTTCCCTTTCCCCCTCTTCTCTTTCGCTCTTTTCTCTTGCTTATCACTCTCTATGCGTGTGTATCTTGTCAAAGCACATGTGGGTTTTTAGCTTTTGATTACTTCTAACAATTAATTTTCACCTGGGTTATGTTTTTTTTCATTGAACTTCTTCACTTTTAAGTCTGAAAACTCACTTCGGTTCTCTGCATTTCTTCTTACTCAGCAAAGTGAAGTTGGTTTTGGTGATCATGGAATCGTGGGACCCTCAGAAGATGTGAGTTTTTATATATTTCAATGGGTTTTTTTTTTTTTGCTTCCAACAAATGCTAATTTCTTGGGGTTCTTTTTTTGTTTTGTTTTGTTTGATTTGGGGTTTTCAGGCTTGACCTTTACATTCTTGATTACATGAAGAGAAACAACATGCACGAAACTGCTGAGATTTTCGCCAATGAGGCTGGTGTTCCTCCAAATCCAGCTGGTATCTCTTCTTGATCACATTTTGTTAAGTTGCTTGATTTTCCTCAATGATATAGATGTATCTACGGAAGAAGTATTCGACCCAATTTATTGGCTTAATTTGTTATCCTTATCAACCATTAGATTAACAGTGGATCTCGGTATTTATTGGCATCCACAACTAATCTAATGGTTGTGATGGATTAATTTGTTTGCCTGATCACTCATATCCATTGGATTAATAGAGAGTCTCAGTATTTATTGATATCCGCAACTAATCTAATGATTGTGATGGATTAACACAGTAAATTACAGCCATTAATGGTTTTTTTTAATTAATATTATGAGTTTGTTGTTTAATATTGATGGGTCTTGATTCCATGCATTTCCCCTCCTGTATTCAAGAACAAGAAAGGAACAGAAATGGATGTATTGATTGAATTCCACTCGGGTAGAACAAATGTCTTCAAGATGTGTTGTGGGCCATGTGGTTCATGCAGGGGCAGCTCAACACAAAATGAGGCCCTATTAATTTTTAAAGTAAAATTTATATTATTATTAAGTATTATTTATATTATTGTCTTTTGAGATATGAAAATAATTATTGGATTTTTGTATTTAAGTTTTGTTAACATATTTTTTCAATAGATAGTATAATTAATTCGAACAAAGCGTGATACCTGATTTAACGGTAAAATAGAATTTTATTGGATATAATGTTAATATAATCAATTAAAAGAAACAAAATTATAATTAATAAAACTTAAGCTAAATATAATAGACTCAAATGGTTTTTTATGTTGTTGTTAACAACATAATCAAATGCTCAACAAACTCAAATTAAATCTAAAAAACTCTAAATTTTATTTTTTTGAGATACTAAAAAATCTAAAATAAAATTGAACTTAATTGAATATATATCTAAAAATTTTATTTAAACATTAGACTTAATTAAACCTCCATAAAATGGGGCCCTAATCATTTGGGGGGGGTGGGGGCCTAAAGCAGCGGCTTCAATGGCTTTACCATTGAGCCGGCCCTGGGTTCATGCTAATTCAGATTTTTTTTTATTCCTTTGATTAATTGGGGAAGTTTTGTACACTGCATGAAGGTTTTTGTGCTGTTTTTGAGTCCAAACATGCCACATTGTTCTTCTAATGTGTCTACTCGAGTATAGCAACTGTATTGTTGATCACTAATGCAGTTACTTTCAAAGTAATTGGAATGCAGTTCAAATATTTGGTAATGACATATTTGATTGGGATGATACATTTATGATTATTCTCATTATAGGATTTTACCAAAGTTGCTATATGCAGTCTGACAATATAATTTGCATTGGGTTTTTGTTCTAGTGCTTAGTTCTCCTGAAGGTTTTTTGACTGAATGGTGGTCAGTATTCTGGGAGGTATATTCCTCTAGGCTACCAAGCCATCAAGAGGCTGGGGAAGAATCCTCTGTTAAGGTGTTCTCTGATAACCTTTGAAGTGCTGTTGTATAGTGCTCGGGTTTGTAAGATAATGCATTTCATACGTGCTTCTTTTAATTCTCAGGCTTCTCAAATGATGGGGGACGAGCTACAAAATGTCTTTCCTATGATGATAAGCCCAGGAATGAATCAGCAGAGGGCTGGACAGATTCCTAATGAGCTACAAAATATCTTTCCTATGATGACAAGCCCAGGACTGAATCAGCAGAGGGCTGGACAGATTCCTAATGAGCTACAAAATGTCTTTCCTATGATGACAAGCCCAGGAATGAATCAGCAGAGGGCTGGACAGATTCCTATTGGTATGAACTTTGAAAGTATACTGCCTCAACCAATGGAAAGTTTATTTGCTGCAAAAATGTATGAGCAAGAGTGTCTTAAGCTCCCTGTTACAGACTTGCATTCAAATTTACGGCTTCTTGATGTTGACAACTTGACAATGACCGAGGCATCTTCAAGCAATGCTAGGTAATAATGTCCAAATCCGTCAAATTAGACACTATATTCATCATTTATAATCCATGTATGCTGTTCATCTGGTTCAGTTAAATGTGCATGTGAGGTGTGGGTGGGCAAGCGAAGGGTGTGTGCGTATTAGTGGACTAATCCTCTGATTGATTGCCGAGGAGACACTGAAAAAGTTTAGAATTTTATTTGGAATGCATTTGTGGCATTACAAGTTTTCTATGTTGATGAGTACGTTGCAATCATTCTGAGCATGATTCGACTATCAATAAAACGAGGATACGGACCTCTGTACAATCTAGTCCTGCATGATTATGTGATTTGAACGAATTGCTCAATACAGAACCTGATATGATCCCTGTGCTCATAAGAAGGGAACAGCGAGTATCAATTTGATATGTTCACATTTATAGAGTTTCTGGTTTCTTATTTGATTTACTTTTATGTGTCACAGCAACCCACAACAGCAAATCCTGCAGAAGGCTGAGCAGCAGGTGGCTAGAGTATGGTTCTAAAGATTAGTGAGAATCATATTTACTGGAATTGAATTCGAAATTTATGTTTTGCTTGTGTTGCAGGGCAATATACATGGTGTTTGTTTGGGGAAATCTTTCCCTATGGACTCAACCATCTATGGAGTACCAAAGGCTATAGCTCCAACAACAGAACTTCCTGATGCAGGTTTGTTTTTTGTTATGTTAGTTTTTTAACTTTGGTCTCTTGAGAAATATTGGGCTTGGCCTCAACTATAGCCTTCAATCTTATTTGACATAACAACAGTATTATGAATTTGAATAATTGAGATAATATATGCATATTCTCTGCTGTGCTGTTAAGGCGTGAAATAAATAAAAATTGATGTGACATGATGGTTGTACTATTGACTTGTCTTTCTATCTTACAAATCCCTACTGTATTTGTTGAAGCACATCTGATTATATACAATCAAAGGGTAAATCTGTAATTGTTTAAACTCATAATTTGTATGTTCTGAGAAAAAAGTTGCCAAATGCATAAAATGTAGCTGTAGATTTTATATACAATCAGAGTATGAATCTATAGCTGTATATACCCACAATCTGTCGTAATTTATTTATTGTTTAATTGGTAATTGTAATTATCTTCATACATTTTATGTGTGTATGCATACTCAACTCAAACTCAACAAAGTATTGTCCCAACTATTTTGATGTAATGTTTTTATTATATTAAGTGTCTACAATGTTGCAAAGTCTCAACGTAGATTACTTAGGATTGCCATTATGTATCAACTTATAATTTATCAAAATTTGGCTAATTTGGGACTGGCTCTCAGTTTGATGTCAACACTTCTGGAACAATGGCAACATTTCTAGAAAGCCAAATGGTGTCAGGAGATGGATCTGTTGTGAACTTTGGGTTATAGTACTTGGGGCAATCTATAGATCATTTTAAAAGTACGACTGCATTTTGGCTTGGAGGAATTTGAATTCTGCAGAGAGCCAATGTGTTGTAAAAACATAAGAAGCTAACTGAGCCAGTAGTTCATTATTGGACCATCATGGAAAGGAAATTTTCAAAAGTTGTCAATGCTTAGAAACCCATGGTTACATAAAGTTTGAGGATGGGATGATAGTGGATTAAGTCCAAGTAAAATTTGAGATGAATAGAGTTGTGGAGAGATGACACAAAGGGAAAAAACAGAACTCTCATGCAATTCAGTATTTGGTAATCTATGGGTCTTTTTTAGCAAATTGAGACTATAGTATTTCATTTACTAGTTTTATTGACCCAACATAGAAAATTAAATAGTCAATCATTGGGCATGTTGTAGATTGTTAGCCAATATGTAACATATGTTCCCTTGCTGCTGTTGCTGTCAGGCTCTTCAACCAACTCCAGCTCCTGAATTTCGGCAACTCGAACTGTGACTTGAAGTGTTTTTAGCTGCTCGTATTTTCATTGGCATGGCATGGTGAATGGATATGACAATTAAATAAGTAGAGAAGGGCATTGTTAGTTATCTAGTAGAAAAAATTATTATGTATTTACTTAGACTGATGTGATGTCGAGGCTTGAGTTTCCTATTATAACTAGCTCTCATCAATGTGACCTCCTTTTTTTCTTCAACTTTAGTCATGCATCTTAACTAAAATTTGTTTGTGCAAATGTCACACTTCAGCCTAGAAGGATCAACCCACCCTCCTAGGATGGAGCACGACTGCATTTGACAATCCTTACCCATAGAAATATAAGCAAACACTGCCAAGACAAGTACATACATCACTTTTTATAAACTGAAGGAACAATTTACATGTCATAAATGTTAAATCATAAACTCATCTAAGAGTTTAAGCTATTAGAGAGGATGTAACATAAATGTTATATACTCGCCCCCTTCACAAGTAAGTTAAACCTTGGGCCAAGCACATGCAGATATTATAATTAGGGTGTGGCAAGATTAGAATGTACAACCTCCTATTTTGATATCATGGTAAATTTAGGATTAAAGAGAAATGTTGAAGAACTATGTGAGATGGTGAAAACCAATTCAACCTACTTATATTTATTTTATATTTGGTGGGTGGGAAGGGGGAGGGGATGAGATTTGTATGTTTTGATATCAAACTTGGTCTTCCAGTCCCAACACTTACAAGAACCCGTTAAGGGAGCCCTATTAGGTAAGGGGGCGTGGATTGTTCAATTCATTCTAGGAAACTGTTTGCCCTTCATAGTTTACCTATTGATGCGATAATGCTTTTAACCTTAGTTAAGCTTTAATCCTTGGCTGAGATTGGCCATGTTTGGTTTGACGACCAACTTGTTTGGCCAAGAACTCAAGAAATTCATCGTTCGGGAATCCTCTCCCGAGTTGTCGCTCTGCTGCACTTGGCCCATCCTCTAGTCACCTTCGGAAGGTAGAGAGTGTGATAATATAAATGATTCCTTTGACTCCATAGGGCCATCTCATTAGTTGTAGGGTATGGTGTGTCAAAATTGACTTGGCTTTGCCAAAAGGCGTCATCTCTAAAAGCCCGGCTCGCGAGGTGTTCAAACCTCACCTCGCTCTTGTGACATGCTATGTTTCCCCTCTCTATTTCCAAGTAAAGGGTGAGTCCCATGCTTCAATTTGTGGATCGCGGTCTCACACACTAATCCCTACAGGTGCCCGTAGTAGGCCGGCCAATAAAAGATAAAAGACTTACAAACATAAGTGGTGTACTTATTACAGTAGTATATAAATTATAGTTCTTGACAAAAAATGTAAATTTATTCCAATACATTGTTTTACTTATTAAGATCAACTACATGATTTCTCAATGGTTGGACTGTTTCAAAAACTATGCAATCAATTTATATGCTACATAACAAGGCTTGGAAGGTTCATAATTATTCTTGGCAATGTTTATGTGCCGAATGGGCAAAAGAACCACAAAAAGATTATTTTTGGAACAAAAATGGAAAAACAGTTAATATAGTTAACCGACGGTTGGACAACCTAGCTGAATGGCCTGCACAGCCGACAAACAACTTATCGTTCAAGAGTTCTGCAGCTGTGTAGATATGGATACTCCAAACGTGGTTTAAGGTGTTATATTGGCCATCGACTCAAAGACCTCTGAGATACACTGATCCTGCCATCGCGATATCGAGCGATACAACCTAAAAGAAAATGGTGAACATGACGAGAGATTCAAGTTATACTTGGCTTCATGGACCGATTTAGTGATGATAACTCAACAACTTGGGATTGATTCGGATATAATTCTGATGACTCAGCAATGTCGTGAGAGATTCGAGATTTATATATGTCGTTTAACAGTATCGTATTGGAAAGTACCGAGTCAGATACGAGCCGGCCCACTCGTACCGCTATCTCAATACTTTGAACCATGACTACAAAGGAAGTTATGTAAGAAGCAATTGAAGATCAAGCATAACATTGTGAACTAGTCTTATAAGTTTGAAATTGTCCTTGTGAAAAACTAGAAGATTGGTACACATGGTGAATCTCAAAAGTGACCAAGGAAACTTGAGATTTCTGAACCTTATAAACATTCAACACTTAACCTTTTGTGGTAATTTTTTTGGATATTAGATTTGATTCGATNACACATGGTGAATCTCAAAAGTGACCAAGGAAACTTGAGATTTCTGAACCTTATAAACATTCAACACTTAACCTTTTGTGGTAATTTTTTTGGATATTAGATTTGATTCGATATTAAAATCGAAAATTACAAACAATATACCATACCTACAAACCATATATCTACATATATATTCGTATAGACTATCTGGAGGCACTCTTGATCTCTAAAAATCATTCTTCTTAAACTCTCATACTCTTAATTCAACCTACCTATATATATTTATATTTGTTGGGTGGGAAGGAGGAGGGGATGAGATTTGTATGTTTAGATATCAAAATAAAAGATAAAAGACTTACAGACATGAGTGGTGTTCTTATTACAATATTATATAAATTATGCTTCTTAACAAAAATAAAATAAGTGATATGCTTGTAAATGTATTCAAATACATCGTTTTACTTATTAAGACCAACTACATGATTTCTCAATGGTTGGACTGTTTCAAAAACTATGCAATCAATTTATAAGCTACATAACAAGGCTTGGAATGTTCATAACTATGTCTATGTGCCGAATGGGCAGTGTAGATATGGATATTCTAAATGTGGTTCAAGGCGCAGTACTGGCCATCGACTTGGAGAGCTCTGAGACACACTAATCGTGGCATCACAATATCGAGTAATACGATCTAAAGAAAATGTTGAACATGACAAGAGATTCAGGTTATACCTAGCATCACAGGAACCATATTGACCGAATTAGGGACAATAACTCGGCGACTCATAATTGATTCGAATATAACTCTAACGACTCAACTGAATCATACGAGATTCGGGGCTTATGTATATTGTATAACGGTATCGTATTGGAAGGAGCCGAATCGGATACGACTCAGGTGACTCGTACCGTTATCTCGATACTTTGAACCATGACTACAAGGGAAGTTATGTAAGAAGCAATTAAAGATTAAGCATAACACTGTGAACTAGTCTCAGAACTTTGAGATTTTGAAAAACTAGATGATAGGCGCACATGGTGAATCTCAAAAGTGATTGAGGAAAATTGAGATTTCTGAACCGGATAAACATTTAACACTTGCCCTTTTGTAGTAATCTTTTTGGTTATTTGATTTAATTCGACATTAAAGTCAAAAATTACAAATAATATACCATACCTACAAACCATATATCTGCATATACATTTGTATAGACTACTTGGAGGCACTCTTGATCTCTAAAAATCATTCTTCTTAAACTCCCATACTTTCAATTCAACCTACCTATATATATTTATATTTGGTGCGTGGGAAGGGGGAGGGAATGAGATTTGTTTGTTTAGACATCAAAATAAAAGATAAAAGACTTATAGACATGAGTGGTGTACTTATTACAATAGTATATAAATTAAACTTCTTAACAAAAATAAAATAAATGGTATGCTGGTAAATGTATTCAAATACATCGTTTTACTTATTAAGACCAACTACATGATTTCTCAATGGTTAGACTTTTTCAGAAACTATGCAATCAATTTATAAGCTACATAACAAGGCTTGGAAGGTTCATTACTATTCTTGACAATGTTTTATGTGCCGAATGAGCAAAAAAATTATTTTTAGAACAAAAATAGAAAAATAGTTAATACAGTTAATCGATGGCTAGACAACCTAGTTGAATGGCTTGCATAGTCGACAAACGGCTTATCGTTCAGGCATTCTGTAGCTGTGTAGATATGGATACTCCAAATATGGTTCAAGGCGTAGTATTGGCCATTGACTCAAAGAATTCTGAGACACACCGATTTGTGGTGTTGCGATATCGAGCAATACGACCTAAAAGAAAATATTGAACATAATGAGAGATTCAGGTTATACCTGGAGTCACGGAAACGTATCGACTGGTTTGGTGATGATAACTCGGCGACTCAGGATTGATTTGGATATAACTTTGACGACTCAGCTGAATCGTGTGAGACTCGGGGTTTATATGTACCGTGTAACGGTATCGTATCGAAAGGTGCCGAGTCATATCCGACTTGACCGACTCGTACTGCTATCTTGATACATTGAACCATGACTCCAAGGTAAGTTATGTAAGAAGCAATTGAAGATTAAGCATAACAATGTGAACTAGTCTCAGAACTTTGAGATTTTTCTTGTAAACAACTAGAAGATAAGCGCACATGGTGAATCTCAAAAGTGACTGATGAAACTTGAGACTTCTGAACCTGATAAACATTTAACACTTGCCCTTTTATGGTAATCTTTTTAGCTATTTGATTTGATNTTGTGGTGTTGCGATATCGAGCAATACGACCTAAAAGAAAATATTGAACATAGTGAGAGATTCAGGTTATACCTGGAGTCACGGAAACGTATCGACTGGTTCGGTGATGATAACTCGGTGACTCAGGATTGATTTGGATATAACTTTGACGACTCAGCTGAATCGTGTGAGACTCGGGGTTTATATGTACCGTGTAACGGTATCGTATCGAAAGGTGCCGAGTCATATCCGACTTGACCGACTCGTACTGCTATCTTGATACATTGAACCATGACTCCAAGGTAAGTTATGTAAGAAGCAATTGAAGATTAAGCATAACAATGTGAACTAGTCTCAGAACTTTGAGATTTTTCTTGTAAACAACTAGAAGATAAGCGCACATGGTGAATCTCAAAAGTGACTGATGAAACTTGAGACTTCTGAACCTGATAAACATTCAACACTTGCCCTTTTATGGTAATCTTTTTAGCTATTTGATTTGATTCGATATTAAAGTCAAAAATTACAAACAATATACCATACCTAAAAAACACATATCTGAATATACATCGGTATAGACTACCTTGGTGCACTCTTGATCTCTAAAAATCAACCTTCTAAAACTCTCATACTCTCAATTCAACCTACCTATATTTATTTATATTTGGTGAGTGATGGGGGGATGAGATTTGTATGTTTAGATATCAAAATAAAAGATAAAAGTCTTACAGACATGAGTGATGTACTTATTACAATAGTATATAAATTATACTTCTTAACAAAAATAAAATAAGTGATATGATTGTAAATGTATTTAAAGACATTATTATTAAGACCAACTACATGATTTCTCAATGATTGGACTGTTTCAAAAACTATCCATTCAATTTATAAGCTGCATAACAAGGCTTGGAAGGTTCATAACTATTCTTGGCAATGTCTATGTGCCGAATGGGAAAAAGAATCATAAAAAAATTAATTTTGGAACAAAAATGGAAAAACAGTTAATACAGTTAACCGAAGGCTGGACAACCTAGCTGAATGGCCTACACAGTCAATAAACGGCTAATCGTTCAAGCATTCTGTAGCTGTGTAGGTATGGATATTCCAAATGTGGTTCCAGGCGCACTATTAGCCATCGACTTAGAGAGTTTTGAGACACACTAACGACCTAAAAAAAATATTAAACTTAACGAGATATTAAGATCATACCTGATGTCACGAAACCATATCGACCGATTCAGTGACGATAACTGGACGACTGGAAATTAATTCGTATATAACTCTGACGAGTCAACTGAGTCATGCGAGACTCGAGGTTTATATGTATCGTATAACGACATCGTATCGGAAGGTGCCGAGTCGGATAGGACTCAACCGACTCGTATTCGTATCTCAATACTTTGAACTATGGTTCCAAGGGAAGTTATGTAAGAAGCAATTGAAGATTAAGCATAACAATGTGAAATAATCTTAGGACTTTGAGATTTTCCTTGAGAAAAATTAGAAGACAGGGGCACATGGTGAATCTCAAAAGTGACCGAGGAAACTAGAGATTTTTGAACCTGATAAACATTCAACACTTGCCCTTTTATGGTAATCTTTTTGGCTATTTGATTTGATTCGATATTAAAGTCGAAAGTTACAAACAATATACCTAAAAAACATATATTTGCATAGCCTGGAGGCACTCTTGATCTCTAAAAATCATTCTTCTAAAATCTCATACTCTTTCTCCATGTTTTCAACGCTTAGGTTCCAACTAGTTATGGTTGGGCACAAGAATTTTGTTTCACATTCCACTCTATTTAAGGCCATAGTTCCATTAAAGCATAGTTACTGGTTCATTCTTTACTATGAGAACACATTAGTTTTGCTATTTTCTTCCCCTTAAAATTATGGTTAATATGTATTTTCAGTGTCCTTTGCGATTATTAGTCTTCGCTGCTCATGACCATACCTTTTTAATTGGATGCCATGTCTTTTCTCTCCAACAGTGGAACTGAACGATCATTCTTTTTATTTCTTCAGAAATTGGCACAAATGCCATCGACTTCATTCATGATTATCAAAATTTCGATCAAAGTCTTTGGATCTTACGATTCGACGATCTAGAATAGATAAATCGATATGAACCTCATGTAGAATTCCAAATTGATAGGATCTTAGTGAATCGTTATCCAGATCTTATAGGATCGTATAATCTGGATCCGAATTACAATTTTACTATCCTAATTGATGAGTTTGTTTGTTAGGTGCATTTAATTATTAAGCTCACCTAATTCATATTTATTATTTTAATACTTAAAGACTTTTAAAGACTCGATTTAAATGTGATTGTCTCGTATAATTGTCAATCTATTAGAGAATTTCGACGGATGAAAAAGGTTCATAAAGTTCTTTTTGCTACAGAAATCTCTTTTCAACTGTTTGTCTCTCCTGTTTAAAATTAAAAACAACTGTTAGGTTTGATTTCATGAGTAATAATTGTCAAATGGTCTTCCATTTTCATTCTTTTCTATTTTTTTTAGATGTCAAATAATTAAAGTTATTTATTGAACAGCCTCTCAAATTTCTAGTCTCTCCACTATATTTGTCTCTTTTTAAAAGTTAGGACCAAAATATTTCATTTCTCCTACTCCTCCTCACAGCATCCCACAAGATTTACAGTTTNTTTTTAAAAGTTAGGACCAAAATATTTCATTTCTCCTACTCCTCCTCACAGCATCCCACAAGATTTACAGTTTGCTTTTGATTGTCAACCATTTTCAATGCTCAGGCTGTTCAAATAATCATATCTCTAAATTTATGTTTTTTTATAACACATCAATTTGCATAAATTTTAGGCTTGCATATTTTTTTGTCTTGTTTTTTTTTAATTTGTAGGATCTTACGATTCTCGATCCAATTCTACTCTCAATCCTATATCCTTCCCCATCGATCCAAGGTCGGATCCCGATTTTAAAAACTTTGACTTCATTACAAAAACATTTCATAAGCGCAAAACTGGAAACTACACACAATAATTGGTAGAACACAATAATTTGTGTCCTAAAATAATTGTTCCAAAAATTGTCTGTTCAGAAAGATTGATATGTTAATAAGGATTATACTGTTGACAGGTCGCAATTATATCTTTCAAAAAGGGCTACCTGTTTTGTTGTGCTTAAATATCTAATCGGGAACCTCAAATCAAATTCTGAATCTTATTTAGAAGTAGGAATCTTCCCTTGAAATCTATATTGAATTGAGTAGAATATTGAATAGCTTATGCTAGATTCGTTGGGCGTTTATGAAGAAGTTAAATTTCACATTTGGAGATTATTGTTAGCAAAGCGATCTTACAATCATAGGACTTTTTCCAAGTTTATATTTCAAGTTTTTTTGGAACTTGCTTATTTTTAAAGGGGGTAGAGTGATCGCCAAAATAGTTTTCCTTCTTTTGCTTTTTTTTTGGTTGACTTTTTCCTTAGGTGATATTATCTAACTAGATGCTTGTTTTAAATAACTATAGGGTATCACATTCCACTACCAATGGCCCTGAATTTTAGGAGCGTTGAACTTTCTTGAGTTTGACATGAATAAATTTTTGGTTTTCATGACTTTGATGGAGCTTAGAAATTAAGCAATTTTGAAATTCCTTTAGTAGTTTGCCTATGAGGTCAATAACAATATACTTGGGCTAACAACCATGAGGTTATTAACTGTTAGGCATGTACCCAATCCACCCATCCCAACACTCTCAGTTAACTAGGACCAAACTGGGTGATGATCTTGGTAGCTTCGCTTACTGAAAAACCTGAAATGTTATATATTGTTTCATCACTAATGGAAACATTGTTATGGCTTTAAGTGACACTCAGCTCGAAAACAATGCTATTCTGGATCCAATTAGATGCTGTTAGAATGTCTGGAGAATTAGAATGATGGGCATTCTTGTAATATCCTGATATAGGCAGTATAAATAGGGATGTGTGTATGAATGAGTTTCAATCAATTCTGTTCTTTTCAGAAATTTGTATCACAAACTCTAAAATAGGCAATAATTATTGATTTGTTACAAATGCACTGAGGATAAAATGCTGCAGTTTGTTGATTTTATGCTACAATTTTTGGTGACAAAATCTACTAATGAATTTTTTGTAACCCTGTGATTCAAAAATTTTGCATTCCATCATTATTATTTCTATTTTCTTTTATTTCCTCGATTGCTAGATATTTTGTTATTCATAATGCTTGATGCTCATCGTTTGCAGGGAAAGCCAAAGTTGTCAATATGATGCAAGTGACTGGACGGCCTTTAACTGTAGGTGGCATGTCAAGTTTTGGCATTTAGTGCTATTCAGCTGGAGTTGAACTTTTTTAGTGTCAATTAANGTTGTCAATATGATGCAAGTGACTGGACGGCCTTTAACTGTAGGTGGCATGCCAAGTTTTGGCATTTAGTGCTATTCAGCTGGAGTTGAACTTTTTTAGTGTCAATTAACAGTTGTCATTAATTTAACAGCTCTGTCTATTCTGTCTATCTCTTCCCAGGGGGTCGGCCCGGTTTCCCTTGGAATGGCAGAAACATCAGGAAAGCTGATGCCTTATTTTGGAAGAAGTGCTAGCAATTCACGTGCAGTGCTTCCCTGGAGTAACTTAAGTAAAAACAGAGGACAGGGAAGCCGAGATGATGAATTTGGGCTTCAACAGGTCCGTTAATTTACAGCACTGTGTAGATGGTATCAAGGATCAAAATTTTATTCCGAAACAGTCGAAACGTTTCCGTTTTCAAGGATACTGAAAACGAATCAATAATTGAATCAAAATTCTAATGCTTTAAGAATTTCAAAGTGCTTTGAGATTTTTCTACATATTTCAACCAAGGTTTTATAATATTTCAAAGTATTTCAAGAATTTTCGATATATTTTTGATCAATGGTTGAGAATGATTTGAAAATTAATTTCCAAATTTTTTGTCTGATTTCATTCTATTTCCGAAACATTTCCAAATTGTTTCTGTTTTCGACGTGACTGAAACAATGTCTCAAAACGAAATTTTGATCCTTGAATGGGATGGATTTTGTTTAATCTTTGGTGATTAAAAATATTCCTTTTGCATAGGGAATTCTGCTTGCCTGCATATCCATGTGTCTTCACATACTATATTAAACAATCACATGCTTTACTATAGTTGTTGTCACTGTCTACATTGGTGTTTTTGTTTGTGCAACAGTTACATGTATTCAGAATGCATAATTATATAACACATGAAGGAGAACTGTAAATCTTTAAGCATGTAAGATTGACTTAAAACATCAGAAAGATCATTACCTAGCATTGGTCTTCATGACTTGATGGTGTTGGACAGGTTCACCATTACAGATCTAACCCTGTAACTGCAGCAAGCTTTGGAGCCAAAGCTTTTGCTGCTGCAGCAAGCGTTTTCCACTAAATAAATATAAAGAGATTTGGAGAAACTATATTGTAAAGAGAGCTTACACCCCATAGGATCACCCACGTTTGGTTTATATGCTGGATGGGCCTCTCCATTCATTGCCAATTTGTTTTGAGTTGGATGCTGTAACATTCTAAAGATTGATTTGGATAGTAAATTACATAAGAAAAGACTTTGTTGATTTTAGTTGAGTTGTACCAAGAGAGCATGAGCCAAGGCTAATCAGATTTTGTGACCTTATTGATTCCTTATAAGTGATGATCCGTGAGGATTGTAGGAAGTTCAAAAAAGGTAGTAATAGAAAAACTGGATTTTGAAATGATTATGAGTAATAGGATATAGTATTTGATGTTGCTGAAAGGTAAAGCTATCATGTGAAGGAGGCAGTAAATGGAGCATCAATTGCTATTGGCTTTTTTCACCATAGAAAGCTGCAAGGATGGAAAAAATCTTCATTGGGAAATAATAGGGGATATGACTGTTTGCTTTTTACTCTGTTGGAAATTTTAGTAATGTGTCAATTGAATATAATTTCATTGCAGTTTCTTTATTCCCCCCCGCCCCACAAATTCCCCTCCCTTTTTTCATGAAACGATTTTTAATGCAATACTACTGAATGTACTATTTTATTCTTGTATTGGCATAGTCATTATTTTCTTAGTAAATGCTCATTCGTTGATGATTTGAAGACATTGGGACACAAATTTTGCATGCCTGTTGTTCTGCTAGTGGGAAAGGAAGAAAGGATAAACCCAATAATGCTGGTTCTTCCTTGGATGTCAACATGTGTAAATGTCATATAATACATTCAAGATTTTTGGGTAATCTCAGAACCATTGATCTAGTCAATGATCAAAATTTTATTTCAATGCATTTGGGCTTGTTTCAAAAACATAATAGAAACGAATAAAAAATTTGAGACTTATTTTTCCTAAATATTGGTCGAACTATACCAAGCATATTGAAACACTTTGAAACATTTCGAAAAATTTTGTAAATGTGTCAAAACATTACGAAACACCTCGAAACATTATGAAATATCTTGAAGTATTATAATTTCGATTCCATCACTAATATCGTTTCGGTCTTCTTAGAAACGGAAACAATTAGGTTGTTTCGACTTTTTCGAAAAAAAATTTTAATCCTTGGACCTAGTGGACCTGTTTGTTGAGAAGATGAGTTCTATACCTTGGTNGTCTCGAAGTATTATAATTTCGATTCCATCACTAATATCGTTTCGGTCTTCTTAGAAACGAAAACAATTAGGTTGTTTCGACTTTTTCAAAAAAAAAATTTAATCCTTGGACCTAGTGGACCTGTTTGTTGAGAAGATGAGTTCTATACCTTGGTTCTGTAAGTATTGTGGCTCGATACCTTGGTGGGCATGGTGATTGAACTACATGTTTCTCTTTTTTTTTAGTTCATCTCCAATTTCTTTTGCTTGTTATACACAGAGAAGTCCAGAATAGAAATGGCTCGAAAAGTGAAGTAAATATAAGCCTGAGTGTGAGAGACTGGAAACACTAAATTTTTATGGTTGGCTTTGTCTGTTGTTAAAGGCTTACTTAACGAACCGATTATATCTTTATTCTAGAGAAGGCATGGAGTATCTGAATGTATGAAAGTTCAGCAATGTTAAAGGCTGTTGGACAATGATGTCTTTGTTCAAAANAGAACCGATTATATCTTTATTCTAGAGAAGGCATTGAGTATCTGTATGTATGAAAGTTCAGCAATGTTAAAGGCTGTTGGACAATGATGTCTTTGTTCAAAAGAAGCAGTAGCACAAATCTTTTGTGCAATTACATTTGACATTTTCTCGGGTTCAGTAGATTGAAGGGGAAGAAATAATTAAGTTCTGCTTTTTTATTTCACATGTACATAATATATTTCATGTTTCCATTCAAAACCTTCATTAATCCATCTGTCTTGCAGAATCGTTTCATTCGTTTTGTGTTTAATTATGAATGAGTAATTGTGTGATACTCAGGTGATGGTTCCCCCGAGAGAAACAACAGAGCAACAAATGATGACCGTGAGAGAAACAGCTCAGAAACGAAACCAGCAGTCGCATGAGGTTGGTTGGGATCATAATAGGCCTTATTGAGCCATTCAACAGTACATTAAATTCACTCCTGCTTTGTTAGGTTACATGTCTCTCTACAAAATGTGAATGCTGCGCCTTTAATTTTTGTATGGTACACATATTAATGTTTTGCTTTGTTTTATGACCATCATACCTACAACAGTTTTCAAAGTTTTTATAATTGTTGTGCTGGGCCTGTCTCCCTTAGCAGCAGAAATATATAAATATAATCATAACCTGTACCTGAAGACACGATAAAATATAAAATTCGAACGTCCAAAAAAATCGATCCCACTATATTAAATTTTTTTAAAATATATTAACTATAAATTAATCAAATATTAAATAATTAAATATATGATAGAAANGTAAAATTTAGAGGTATTGATCAAATTTCATGCACAAATTGGAGGAAAAAGAGTGACGCACCTTGAATGAATCTACGTGACCAATGTCGCTTTGTGATTTGCTGGTCACTTGTGGTGATTTGATGAGCCTCACCATCTCTGCAAACAACAGCTCGGTAGTCACCCATGGAAGCTATCACAAGCTTTTCTCCATTGATAACAATGGCGGATGCTGAACCCACTTTCCATAACTCTTCTGGCTTCTGTGTTTCCCTGATTTTTGCTGTTGCACCAATGTATGCCTTTCTCATTGTTTCTTTGCTCCTCTTCCTCATTTGAGACTGCCAGACATTGTGTAACATTCAAGATAATGAACATGGTCTTCCCCCCTAAGTTTCTAAAATTACTTTTTAAGTCCCTTGATTTTAAGAAATTTGCCCCCCCCCCCAAAATAAATCCCTTATGTTTTTTCTTGTTCTTTGATGATAGGCCAACGATTCCTTGTTATTGCAAGAATAGTTTTGTTTGGCATATGGCATGATTGTCATGCAGTGAGTTGCATTTCATCTAATACATTTTGTCTCAATTTCTCGCAATACTAGAATTACTACAATGAGTTTGTTTACAACGAAATTAAATAAGTAATTTTTAAGGATTTTGGAGTAAAATAAGTCATGTTTATTTGGTCNAACTACAATGAGTTTGTTTACAACGAAATTAAATAAGTAATTTTTAAGGATTTTGGAGTAAAATAAGTCATGTTTATTTGGTCTTTTTTACCAGTTTATGCAACAGATTTTTTAACCCAAAAAGATTTATTTAGGTTAATTTAAGAAGTTAATTTTATGAGTTTTTCTTTCGACTTTTTAGAGTTTTGTAGGAGATTTTACATAATTTTTTAGCTTATTATATTCAAAAAATATTATTATAGACGTAAAAAAAATNTGTTTATTTGGTCTTTTTTACCAGTTTATGCAACAGATTTTTTAACCCAAAAAGATTTATTTAGGTTGATTTAAGAAGTTAATTTTATGAGTTTTTTTTTCGACTTTTTAGAGTTTTGTAGTAGATTTTACATAATTTTTTAGTTTATTATATTCAAAAAATATTATTATAGACGTAAAAAAAATTTAAATTCATATTTTGAGAACTATTATGCATAATCTATACATATATGTAATTATTCTTTTATTTTGACACAAAAAAGCTAAAAAAAACTAGACAATCACTCCAAATAGACTTTGTCAACTTTTCCAATTTTTTAAAGAAACAATTTTGGGGCACCTTTTAACTCTTATTTTTTTACAAAAATNTATTATTATAGACGTAAAAAAAATTTAAATTCATATTTTGAGAACTATTATGCATAATCTATACATATATGTAATTATTCTTTTATTTTGACACAAAAAAGCTAAAAAAAACTAGACAATCACTCCAAATAGACTTTGTCAACTTTTCCAATTTTTTAAAGAACACCCCAAACAATTTTGGGGCACCTTTTAACTCTTATTTTTTTACAAAACTTTTTAAACCATAGCTCTTCGCCTAAAAAATTCAACTTCAAACCGGATCAATCAATCCAAGTTGCTTCAACTTTATGTAGATGGGTACACCGTTAATACATAGTAGATTTTGTAGCTTTCAAGGAAAGGTAATAACGTTTAGACCTANTTATGTAGATGGGTACACCGTTAATACATAGTAGATTTTGTAGCTTTCAAGGAAAGTTAATACATAGTAGATTTTGTAGCTTTCAAGGAAAGGTAATAACGTTTAGACCTAATTTGTTGACATATTGCACTGTTTCGTAAAATTTAAAAGTTTGTCTAAATATTGGATCAAATTTACCATTAATTCAACGTCAATAATCGATCTGGTCAAAAAATTTGGTTGATATACTCCAAGTAGGATTATTTACAAAAAGAATTATAAAAAAATGAATTAGAGAAGATCTATATCCGTTAATGATGCACATTTTAACAGTGNCGTCAATAATCGATCTGGTCAAAAATTTTGGTTGATATACTCCAAGTAGGATTATTTACAAAAAGAATTATAAAAAAATGAATTAGAGAAGATCTATATCCGTTAATGATGCGATTATATCGATGTAACTATAGGAAATAAAACAAGTAAAAGTCTCGTTTACCTCTTTAAGCTTCTTATCCAATAAATGTGATTGCATGTACTTGGTAATTCTGTCACCAATTCGAGCATCGAAAACTCCAAAAAACCACACTTCATGCTCTTCAATTTGCTCTCTCTGTACCACAACTGAGTCCGAGTCCAACTCACTTGACTCACCTTTCAGTGACCTATCCTCCACAACATAATACCCATGAGAAATGGGCAGCATCCATGAAGGCTTCTTTCGAATGATCTCAGCCTCTCTTTTCTTGTTCCCACCACCACCTNTCCTCCACAACATAATACCCATGAGAAATGGGCAGCATCCATGAAGGCTTCTTTCCAATGATCTCAGCCTCTCTTTTCTTGTTCCCACCACCACCTATAAGGAATCGTCTTAGCCGAAAGGCCTGCCCCAGTTCAGTAAAATAAGTCAAGCTAGCAAAAAATTAATTAATGAGTAAATTACACATATGNAGCCTCTCTTTTCTTGTTCCCACCACCACCTATAAGGAATCGTCTTAGCCGAAAGGCCTGCCCCAGTTCAGTAAAATAAGTCAAGCTAGCAAAAAATTAATTAATGAGTAAATTACACATATGACCCTCAAACTATGACATTTAAATTAATTAAGCTCTTAAAATTTTTTATTTTTATTTTTTATTAATTGAGCCTATAAACTCTCTAATTATGTCAATTGAGTCATTCTATCTTCCTCCGCTAGAATGTGTCTCTCATATGACTATATAACATAAAAAAACAAAAGAACTCAATTGATACAATTAAAAAATTCAGAAATTCAATTGACACAAAAAAATAATTAGAGATTTAATTGACATAAAGATCGTATGTTTAATTTACTCTAACTATTTGTGTCACGCTCGTTAGAAGTGTTTCAATGATGTATATTTGTTTATACTTAAACTTTGGATGCACAAATCAGTAGCAAATTACACGCATTGGGTCAACCAGAGTCAGACTAGCCAATCGAGACTCCCTTTATGGGCCAATAAGAAATATCAGACCAAAGACAGAAAGCTCAATAAAGCCGAAAGAATCTTTCACAAAGGATGGCAAAGGAGTACACGAAGGCAAGTTTCAAAGCTCAACTAAACAGACGAAGACTTCCCAATCAACCCCATGTCATCAGAGATATCCTTATAGGTGAAAACTACAGTATTTTCTCGAGAATGGCTCATCAACAACTATTCAAAGAAGATGAACATATATGTATATCTCTATACCTTACAATACATTTCAATAAGTTTGCATGCCTTACAATACAGTTCATTGTTTTCTTACAAACTAGCATTTCAGAAATAGAATTTTATACAAGGGCAAGGGCCTAAAGTCTCGAGAGGCAAGGTCTCCAAGCCCATAAAAAAAATAAAGGGCATCTACTCAAAAAAATAAAAAAGAAAAAGCGAGTTTCTCCTTGAAATTGGATTAATGGCTCGTTAGAAATGATCTATCGCAAGTACAGAAACCATTATTGAAAACTTCCTATGGTCCAAACACCTTAAGATGTACATGCTTGGTCGGTGTGTGTGTGTGTGTGTGTGAGAGAGAGAGAGAGAGAGAGAGAGAGAGAGGGAAGGCTACCTTGAGCTTCAGGCGAAGATTCTTGAATCCCATGTCTATGCTGTAAGCTGATTGGATACCCAAAATAAGTTCCTATAAATATCCGCCCTTTTTTCAGACAAAAATGATTTCAAATGTATTAATAGGAGGGTATTCAGAGCTTCTCGAAAGTCTAAAGTCGTCTTTTGTATATAGTCAAAGAGAATTGACACAAAGCCAAACCCCAAAAGATTTTTGATAAGCATATAGATAATATGTATCTGTTCTGTACTCCGTCAATTTGGTTTTGTGGGATTTGTCAAGTTTTAAATTAGGGTAAATTACACTTTATCACTCTAAACTACTACCTTTATTTTATTTTACACTCTTAATTATAAAATTTCTCACATTGTACCCTAAAGTATTAATTTTATGTCATATCACTCCAATAGATAACGACAAACTTGAAAATCTGTCAAATGAAGGAGGAGAATCCCAAAGGGTTTCCCGCGAAGTGCTTAGTACCACTTTATTTTACCTTTTTTGCAACCAAATAGTTGTTGGGAAGAAAAAAAAAAGTCGGCCAAAGGGAAAAAAAATTAGAACTTAGAAAGGGCATAGTCATGGATATGCATTTTTCTTAATTTTTGACCTATACATATGCAATATGCAGCTACGTATTAGCAACACAGACCACTCACATACGCATTTACCATAAAAAAAAGTGACATTCGTTATCAATTCGAGTGATATGAAATAAAATTGATATTTTATAGTGTAATATAAAAAATTTTATAGTTGAGGGTATAACGTAAAACAAGGATAATAGTTCAAAGAAATAAAATGTAATTTTCCCTTTAAATTACTTTAGGGATTAATTACGGTAAAGGTCCTCCAATATAAGAATTTTGTCATACTTTGCTATCGAATGTGTTAATTGTATCGAATTAGTCCCTAAATTATTAAATTTAATTTTAAGTGATCCCCTTTGTAAATTTCCATCAAACTTAGGTAGGAAAGAGAACCCTTGACCATGGCCTGGTATGGTGCCAAAAATTTTAGGTACCTCTGTTGTTTTAGGTGACCAACTACTACTTACATTGAACCAAATCAACCAATCCCTTAGACACGTTGGAGACCCTTTTAACCATGACTCTTTAGTCTTTTCAAGTAATACACCCAGTTGTCAATTTGCATCCAACCACTTCTCACGCAAAGGAATGTGATCAAATCTGACCAACTCTACATAAGTAGTTTAGCGACAGGGACACAAAGGTAATCTAATTTTTTATACGGTACCGCGCCACTTATTTTTCACCAATCAGAATATGGCACGTGTAATATTTTTTTATATTTTGTTATTTTACTTCAACTTGTTATCGGGGGTCATGTAAATACAGTACTCGTGTGCAGATAAAAAAAAAAGAATTGAATATGGGAGTTGTAGTAATTAAATTCAATTAATCATGTATCAACGAGAATTACAGAACTCACAATTAAAAGTGCAAGTTCCATAACCTCTATATAAACGCGCACACACCCAAAGCTATCCAATGTGAGATAGTCCCATCCTCTGATCCACTTTAGGCCCGAGGGCCCCACCGATCGGGCAGCGAGACAGATGAGCCCAACAGTTGGATGCTGTGAAACCACACGCACAACTACCTTTCTTGTTTTATTAATAGTATAGATATTTTATTATTTTTTAGATCAATGGTTATAAATAAACTAACTCAAAATCGACGATTAAGATCTATTTTTCAGTATCATACCCTAATTTTTGTTTTTTGTAGGAGCAATCATCTAGTTTAAGATATGCACTTCGCACACGCAAGATTGAATGTACATTATGTTAGAATTATGCCCGGACGTGTTTGACTAAAGGTCTTCTGTTGATTATATCCCAGGTAGACTCGAAGCATAATACAGACAAGTCAGCCCAAGTTAACCTGTGCGTGACGGTGCTGGGGGCTGCTGCTTGGTGATTCCAGGAAGGGGCATAGTGCAAAGTTTGACTTAAGCTAGAATTAGTCCGCCTTGTACGATGCGCGGAATTTATAGTAAAAAATAAAATTAATAGAGAAGGAAGATCTACACTCCCAATTAATTGGTTCGCTATAATAGATTAGAAGGATGTAAGAACAAACTTNTGTCCGCTCTATCTGCTGGGATATGAGTGGCAAGTACATCGCCTCTGTCAGTGAAGACGGTGCACGGATATGGTCAATCGTCTCAGGTGCAAAATGCATATATGAATTGCCTTCCAATGGCAACAAATTTGAATCATGCACATTTCATCCTGTGTATTCTCAACTCTTGGTTGTTGGTTCTTACCAGGTATTAAGTGTTCTTTCATGACAGTTCTGCTAGTACTTTTGGTCCTTATTCGACATTTTAATGACCATTTACTGGAATATCCTCTTTACCATGTGGGTTTTTCCATTCTGGGTTCTGCATATGCTAGGCCATTGTCATGGTTCTTGATTACTATGTGATACTTGTCCACTGAAGATACAACTTTTGATTAAACAACTTGCTCCAAATTTGATAATATACCATACCATTCTGGCAGAGTGTTCACTCTTAAGACTCTGGCTTTCCACAAAACAAGATTTCTGCCATGGTATTATTTCCATAAGTAAAATGCTATACATACCAAAAATTTTATCAGAATGTGCTTTACCAAATGAATTGACAGTTCTATATCACTCTTGGACCCACCAAATGCTGATCAAAATGTTTTTGATTGGATGTAGAGTTGACAACTCATTTGGTAAAAACACTTTTTGGTAAATGTTTTTTTTAAGTACTTTTCGTGCCAGTTTAGAAAAGAAATTTTCTGCAGCTGTATTATTTTCCATGATATGTCCATTTCCTAAAAGTTAAAAACCAGCCGAGGCAACTTGATAAATCATCCTAATTTCCTTTACAGATTGCCCATCAAGCCAAGTGAATCCTTGAGAAAAAATGAATTTTCACTTAATGGTTTTTTTGGGAACTATATTTCCACAAACAAATGAAACTAAAGCAAACGTAGGTCAAAGTTTGTTTTCAGCATTTGGTCAGCATAAATAGGCTATTTCTTGCCGCCATAGTTTGTCAATCCAATTTATTGTCAAACAGTTCTTGCATGAGAAACCTTGCACTTCAATCCTTGATGATTTTTTCTCTTTTAGATAGAGGTCATTCCTGTTATCTTGCACTTAATCAGCCTAACAAACAGTTCTTTTAAAATTTTTTGTCCATACCTTTGATCCCTGAGCTTTATTTGTAAAACCATGAACGAAAAAACTCTGATCTTAACCTCTTATTTTGATGAGATACGTTACAGTTTCCAAACATTTGTCAAAGTTTGCATCAGTTTTTCATCAAGTTGGGACAGTGAATCTTTAACCAAGTATTACTATTTGTTTCAACTTTAGAGTGAAATAATTTTTAGAATTCATGGATAATTTTTTTGAGTGTTCTTGCAGACACTTGAACTATGGAATCCAATTGAAAGCAATAAAACTTTGAGCTATCAAGCACACAAGGGTATAATTCCTGCATTGGCAGCATCTCCTCAGACTCAATTGATTGCCTCAGCAAATCATGATCACTTGGTGAAGTTATGGAAATGAGACTTCTTTCTTTCTCATTTCCAATTCGACATTTGATGAGTCATTATCAGTTGGATTTACAGTTAATGGGATTTCGCATAGTTGACAGAATGGGTTGATGATGCCAGAAGTTAAAATATATCCACAGCTGAAGCTACACCTTTTTTTGTTACAGAGGATACAGGTATACACAGACAGAGATCATAGTGATAAAATAGTTACAACTACATGGACATCATATGAATCTTGGGTACTGCTGCTGCTGCTGCTTTTTTTCTCTCCCTTTTAACTGTAATTTTGGATTTCATAAATTTCCTTAAAACTTATTGGGAATGGTTTATTGCTGTTATACAAAAATGCTGTCGGGGAACCACAGGGAAACAACATCTTTCCTTTCAATTTGAGATGAATATTCTGAATTCGAAATTTAACAATTCCCTTGGAATTACACCATGAGGAATTTATTTCCTATGAATTTCTTAGTCCGGGAATGAATAGCCTGCTTTTGACTGATTTGACTGAACAGAAGAGGAGATTAGTCAACATTCACATAAATTAGTCTGGATACTCTTGACTGTTTATTGAAAAAATATGATATTTTGTCTGAGTACGTTGTTTTTGGATGTATAAAATTATCCTGCTTTTCACCTTACGATCAATAATATTCTACTCCTACTTTTAACCTTTGCAACCATTGAAAAAACGTACTTCTACCTTTAATTTTGCACTGAAATCACCATGCAACAGGGGATGGGCATGGTAACAAGTGAAGTCGGGCGAAGAAGATAACTCCATCCCAAAGAATCGGAGATTGATAAGAGACCATGAAAAATTTGGTTTTAAAAAAAAAATATTAAGAATTGAATTATTTTGACGAGATAACTTAGAAAAACGAGTAACAGTTGACTCTTATCTCATTTTTAATTTGTTGTCTTTTGATTGACGAGACATATAACTAAATTACACCTCTTGCTCAGTCAAAATCATTTTTTCAAAAGTGAAAGTGTAGTTTGTTTGGCTGCCAATTAGCCGTAAAACCAAATTTCTGGAAGGGAGGATAAAGTTGTAGTTGGATGCTGCTTTTGATATGAGGTTGTAATGCTCGACACATTTCATAAAACTCTGAAGAAAGGGGATTAGAGAGCTACCAGACAGAACCTCACCACTGGTAAGACAGAGGCTTAGCTTTTCACTTTGGCAACATCAGAGGCCTTTTTCCACTAATGGTAACTCTCTTGGTAACAAAACATAGACACTACACCTTGGCGCAACAATACAATTGATCTATTAGGATATTGGTATTTTGAATTCAACTGACCAAAACAATTTCTCCATATGCCAAAAATAAAACTGCGTACGTTTAACAATTCCCAAATTCTGCAGTGGTGTGCACCGGACACCCTTACTCTTGTAGCTGCACATCTTCAAGAGTGTTGCACGCCCAACATGTCCTCTACTACTATGAAAACACCTGCAAAAGATTGGCATTGCAGTGCTTTTGGAATCTCATAATTCCTCCTTTATTCATGACCACAAGTCATAAAACAAGACATTGTATCGCATGTAAATCAAAACAGACTAATGCCTTCATGCAATTATGCAATTTTTAGCCAATGAATAGTTGCATACATCTTTTGAGAATGTGAATATTCCAAAGAATCATCGAACGTTCATACCTGACTATGTACTTGGCATCTCAAAACAGTATTATATCCTGTCGAGGAAATGAATTTGCCAATTGGTTTCGGAATTGGAGCGAATTGGTGAATACCAGGAAGAGAGTACATGGTTTCATTTGAGTTTCGGATAATAAATGTATGCAAGAGAGAATCGTCACCTCTTGAAAACATGTCAAGAGACAAATGCATTTTGAACTTCCCTGATGAAGAGTATATTCTACACAAAAAATATGATGAAAACTATGGAATACGCAAGTCCAGTTACTTCCAGAGTTCTTCCATTGGGATCCCACGTTCTTTAGCAACTTCACTGAATTGCCTCATTTTCATCACTGCAACAACTGTGGCTCTTGCATTGTTGAGGGCATTGTTACTTCCAAGCTGTTTCCCCAAGGCATTTTCAACACCCGCCATCTCCAAAACAATCCTCACTGCACCTCCAGCAATCACTCCAGTACCAGAGGAAGCGGGTCTAAGCATCACCTTTGCTGCCCCATAGTCTCCCTCGGATCTGCGATATATTTGGTCAACTTAGTTAACAGCAGCAGATTGGCATGAAAACAAAGAAAATTTTCAAAAAAGCGAACTACGTTATCTAGCATCTTTAGCAACCATATGCAAGTAATGCAAGCCAATAGCTAACTAACCAGATAAGTGTGGTCAGAAGTCCCAAATTTTTTTTGTAGAAGTTGTCAACATACTTCTACCAACAGAAAGTAAGGAGTGGTAAGTAATCCACAAACTCAAGCAATTCAAAAGCTTCCAAAGGGAAATGAGGTTATTTTGCTAACTTTTGTGGGGTCACCATGAAAAGGGGAAAAACATATTTCTCTCCATTGGGTTAAAACTAAAAGACTACAATGTTGTTTGAACCACGGACACAGTCTGTGGGTGTGGGTGGGTGGGTGGGTGCCCGTATCTGCTACAGAGAAGACACTGTCCACCCAGTCGCCAGAGGTTAGACAATAGACATATTATCACTGCCTAATCAAAAGGGCACAATTTTAGCTCCCTTCCACTCTCTGCTTATGTCTAAAGTGAACAAAGTTTAGACTAAACTTCAACTTCTAACAACTGAAGAATTAGCTCCCTAACAATGGCAACCAAGTTGTAGATCAAACCTGGCTAAAAGATGCTCATCATGTTACTTAAGACCTGTGATACCATAATTGCCTTATGTATGGACTTCTATATTTTAAATAGACAACATATTCATATATTAACAATATAACTTGAATACGTATCTTTGGGCATAGTTGAATATGCCCGGAGACTTATAAGTGTACAATATGGAATATATCAACCTTAGTAAAAAAGAAAAATATCATATGTGATCTTCTAGGATATAACTCAAAAAGTCCTTGGTCAAGACAGAATGATAATTAAAAAAGTTTCTAATTAATCATTAGGAATCATAGACCTAAAATCGAACATATAAGATTGAGTTAGGAGTTCAACAATAATTCTATACTCTAATAATTCAATTGGGGCATTGTGTGATTGAAGTATCGAATTGCATGACAACTGTAGACTAAATAGATTTTTTACCTACTTGTTATCCAAGGGTTTAATCATGACATGTTGCTAGGGGTTATTTATGATTAATAGAAGTTCGAAGAATTAAGTTAATATAAATATATTGTTCATCATAAAGGGAGAATTAAAAGAGTTCTAATTCAACATAAATTATGAATTTTAATGTGAGATGCCACTTGAAGTTAGTATTGAATGTCTAAAATTGATTGAAAATTAAATGATAATGGAGAGAGAAAATTAATTTAGAATTAATTGAGGTGAAAAATTAATCAAGAGTTTATTAGGGGCTTTATTACAATTAATGTTAAGAAAGGCATTATACGTAATTATGATACAATTACAAATAGACCCAAACTAAGATTGGAGTCTTCTAAGGCTTTATAAAAAATTCCTAGAAGAGATGGATGGATATAGTATTACAGTCTCTTACTAGCACAAGAAAATCTCCCCTCATTCTCTCTCTCTATTAGTTCATCTAAAGTTAAAAATAGATTCTTCAAATTTATCAATTCGTGTGGACACCGATAAAAGCCAAACACTTGCGAGACTTGGGGTAAAGATCACATTTATATGTGAAGATTCAAGACTCCTTGAGAAAGCTTGAAGATCATTACAAACATGCTCTAAGAAGTAACCCTTAATCTTCTCTATAAATCTAGGGTTCTCGGTTTGTATTAAACATGAAAAAATCTACAGATAAGAAATCGATTTTTTTTTTTAAATTTCGTCGTGTTTCTTGTATGATTTCTTACACTATGTACTGCAAAAACACTTGGCCCACACTGACATAATCCTAGCTTGCGGATTTTAAACAACTACATAAGAGAACATTGTATTGATATCCATCCATGTAGAAAGAGGAAACCTGAACAAAGAATCTGAAACATGGCACATGTCAAGCCTAAACTTGCTTCTCGTGCATGAGATTTTATCTGATTAGACAATAAGAAAACCATTATCTGCAACTACAGTTGTCTTGGTAGAACATGGATCTTCAGGAAAACTAACAGCAAAAGGAAGCACATACCACCAAGTCGTCCCACAAGATAAACCTTAGCAGGTATGCAAACTCTCTCAATATCTAGTACACCCATGACCCAACAATGTCCTGTTACAAGACAGCAATCTAATAGCAGTTAAGAACTTAGAGATCCCCTATGCTGATGCATATATTTGTCAAGGAACGTCAAATTAGCAGAAATGTGGACATTCAAGTAAGGCCTGCATAACAGTTCAAGGATGATAAAGCGAAAGCAGCTATCAATCCGGCCACAGATGATCTGTTGATAACCACCAATTGAGTTCTTATTTCTTGACAGCAAGTTCCTATTGCAGAGGCTGGAAGTTTTGAGGGTCCACCACATCGTGTGTGAAGCAAACTCTTGTGTAGACTTGCTTGCAAAGATGGATGCAATCTAGAAATCAGTTTTTGTCGTTTCCAGTTTTTTTTATATATATTAAAGACCACTTAAAAGCTAATGCAGATGCCATCAAAATTTCTGATTAGTTATTTTAGACCAGTTCTATCAACTCCGACATTAAGACTTTTTCACCTTCTAGACATTGCGCACCACTGTTTTGCAGTGATGTCCCTTAAACACCCCCTAAATTGGCTTAATGATATCAGGAGAGGCTACTTTAATACATATGGTGCTATGATATGAGCTTTGAGCACTCAAACCCTGCATCCAAATATACAAAGGACATCAAAACCATTAAGCCATGACTTCTAGTTTTCGTCCATAGACATGCTCTAGATAATCGCACTAAGATTTTAAATTTCTGCGACAACATCAGTCCCAAATACCAAAGCTATACATAACACTGCCACTAAAATACGCTCAAATTCACTATAGTAAAGCAGAACAAAATATACAATGTTGTAACTACCACCACCATGCACTAATTCACAAAGATAGACATGTTAGCTTACCAACTCTCCAATCTCAACCAAACAACAACTTCACCCAATCTCAAATTCTAATCAAACACATAAACTAGCAATACCAATAAATACCCAAGAAAAATCTTCAAATAAAACTGAAAAAAAAAACACCACACACACAACCATATGTACCTGTGAGGGAAAGTCAGGTACTTTGTCATGGGCACTGTAATAATATTCCTCCTTGCATTCACCGCCGACTTCTGGACCGCCGCAATAACCTCCTTAGCCTTGCCAACGCCAACACCCACACGGCCTTGTTTGTCCCCAACAACCACAACTGCTCTAAAATGTAATTGTTTTCCACCTTTCACCACCTTAGTCACTCTTCTCACCTGTACAACTCTCTCATCAAACCCATCTCTAACTTTCTCGTTCTTACCTTTCGACCCTAACCCACTTATCTTTTTCACCTTAGAATCCATAACATAGATGTCCTTCCCAAGAAAACTCTCTCCACTGTAAGCTGGGCCGTAAAGTTCTTCGTATGCGACGGCGATTTGTTCTTCGGTTTCATACGGACCTTCGTCGATTGGTGGAGGTGGTACAAAGTCTTCTGGTCGTTCTGGGGGGTTAAAGCTTGTGATTTCTTCTGGGTCTACCGTGTCAAAGAAAGTGGTGTCAATGTCGGAGGAATTGGCTCTGATGGGTTTGAGTTTGGTGGGTTTGGAGGGGAGAGAGAAAGATGGGTTCTGTGGAGATTTGTTGGTAGTGGTGGTTGAGGTGATGAATAGAAATGGTCGTGATGGTAGTAGAGGATGGTTGAGGTGAGAGAAACAAGGTGGGGTGCGGAGAGAGAGAGATGAGAAGGCCGAGAGAGAAGTTGCAGAGGCAGGCATGGTGACGAAGGAGGAGGGAAGGGTGAGATGGTTCAGTGGAGCGTACATGCCAGTCTTATCCCAATTGGATGAAGATGATGCGGTATAGTTCGGGCCAAACCGGGCTGCTTCTTGACCCGGATCATCGTGCACTCCGCCTTAAAGGATGATAATATAAAGTTTTACGAATTTGAGACGGATTTGTGTAACTTATTTTTTTCAAATTAGCCTTGATGGGACATTTTTCGGACACTCCATGATAGTGACACGTATATTTGGTGTCAAAAAATATTTTTTGTCATGATCACGACACGCGCTCATCGGATCATGATCCCTCTTTCCCGAGATGGTACTATGCATAAAGATCTACGATGCTGGTATGCACAGGTGACACGTATTTCTCGGTCGAATGGGTGGGTACATCGGCCCCTAATCGTACTACCCCCTCGGTACCGATGTTTACCCACTACATCGGCGTTCCTGTTCCTGCAGGGTTATTGATAGACAGGTCATCAGTCTGGGCTAGGCTAAATTAGCCATCATGATCTGGTCTTATCTAGATGGTGTCATGACGCACAAGAAAGCAGAAGGCTCAACCAAAGGGGAGCTGATACGTGGCGTACTGTGTTAGATTAGAGGCCAAGGCGAAAAAACCAGAATGCTCTTGCTGACACACGACTTGGGAAAACAAGTATTTAATGCATATTTCCCTTAATGAGACAACATTTAATGCGTGAAGACTCGGAAGTGAAAGACAATGAATGATCCTGTGATAGAACATTTAATATATTCCAGCCGAGTGAAGGGTCATTAAACGCTCAACAAACTGAGGGTGATACATTGATTGCTCGAGGTCCCGAACAGTTAAGGAAGAGGTCATTTCTCCTAAAAACCAGTGTGCACGTTACCCGCCTCTAATAATCATCTATTGACCATACTAACAGCAATCATGAATTTTTAAGGTATAAATACTCTTCACAAAACGTATGATGAGGTACGAAAAAACCTTTTCTTAAACTTATGCACAGTGTTTTCTTCTTTCTCTCTGTAAAATAACTGACTTAATCGTCGGAGAGAATACACCGAAAAATACTTCGGCGCCCTCCTAACTCGTTTTTCTCTGTTTTAGGAATCTTCCCTAACCTTACAGGACCACCCCAGTGACCCACAAAAAGTCACCCATTACCGTTCCAGGCTACCACCGACCCTCATAGTCTATTCCGCCCAGCAAGATTGACTATTCGATTGACTGACTCGTGTTCACCACGGGAGAGATATGTTCTCGTGTTTATATTGTGCAAGATTCTGCACGCACAAGTTTAATAACTTATTTAAATTTAGCTCATTAAAAAAATAAGTTGAACTTAAGTTAAGTTCAAAACGAGTCGAGCTTGAATAGCTTGACTACTTTACAATAATCGAGCGATCATGAAAAAATTGTCTAAATTTGACTCATTTAGTACTCAAACAGAGTTCAAATCGAATCCTATCCAAATCGAACCTAAATCAAATTTAAATAACTCGATTCAATTATCAATTCTACATCACTTTCTCCACTCATATGCCAGACCGGCCCAACTACTAAAGTTGTGACCCAGGGAACACCCATGGGGCGATATTGATAAACCTTAAATCATTAATTAATTCTTTTTTTTGATTCAAAAATTGTTAGTTAATTCAAGATTAGTGATTGGTCCGATGACCATCAGACCTTATAGTTTCCAGGTTTCATCTTTATCATCTCTCTTCATATTATTACTAATACTTTTCTTGTTTTTTTTTGCGATAAGTAGATTCATAATCCAACTTTATTATACTATTTTTTTTTTTTGAGAAATAAAAAATTTAGAATTCTATTTATTTCATAAATAAAAAAAATTTATAATTAAGTGAAATTGTAGTTGGGATCAATTTGGAGTGCTCGGATCAATTTGGATAGTCCAGTGAACCGCAATGGGCCACAGCTTAAGCTTAAGGTCAGACTAAATACCAACCAAAGGATTTAATCCTTTCCCACATTTCCGAAGGTTTAATCACTTTTATCCCTACAGGTGGTTTGGATCACCATGGGAGGATTGAATTGGATTGCCATGGGAGGATTGGATTGGATTTGAATTCGATTCAAATCTAATTTAATGCAAAGTAGTCCGAATTGAAAGATTATAAAGATGAGATTCAAATCATATCTCATCTTTGGATATGTTTCATTTAGTTTGTGGGCTCCATTAACATGTGAAGCAAAAACATACTAAAATGGCCATTTCGTCCTTGTGTAAAATAATGTGATTCAATCCTATACCATATTTGGAATAGAATGAAAAAAAAAGCCCAAATAGTATTGTCTTTTTTACGAAAACAAATATGAATCAATAAATTAAACAGTTTTTCAAAGTATTACAATAAATATTTTGTTAAGTTATTTAATTTAATTTGTACAATACACTTTTAATTACAAAATCATCTAAGGCATCATGAAAAAAAAAAAAAACTTTCCAACTGAAAAATAATACACATATCGATACAACTCAAGCGTAAGTTGTTATTTGTTTATTTGTAGATAATCCAAAGTTGTGTGTTTAAAAGTAAAATTTAATTGTTTAAATTGACCTGAACATCTCTGACAGTTAAATTAAAAAAAATTACAAAGGGAAAATGTGGCATGTGAAGGAAAAATGTGAGAGAGGAATATAGTTTAGGGGGCTAAAAGTGTAATTATAACTCCTGAATTTTGCATTATGAGCAGTTCTCTTCGATTGCAGACAGTGCTGCTCGTGCGGTTTCTTCATTTAGCATATTTCCCCTAAATTTTTTTCGGATTCTATTTTATGTATAGAGAATCAATTCCATAATTTGAGGTCTGATCACCACTTAATTCAATATCCCATCATATGCATGATGAAAAAAAAATGTAAATAATTTCCAACACACACATAATTGAAATTTAAAAATATTATGTTTGTACATAAAAAAACGACAATGTCTTACAAAAGGTCTCAATTTTAAGGTCGTGCATAACACAACACACAAATAGACAATTTGATACCCTCATAAACAAAAAAAGGCATAAACTTTGCCTTATTTGAAGACCATCCAACACAACCAAATGGGACATATGGGTAACACATGTAAATTATAACATGTAGTAGTTCACAATACTAGATTGATAACTATCCGCATAGCATGTGATTTAATGAAACGACATAGTTTTGGTGCTCTATTTTTTTTTTTAAACACTATCCAGAAACAACGTCGTTTCCGGTCCAACTAAAACAGTCATGTTCACAAAAAAAAAAAAATTAAGCCTGAATGACAAGTTCAAATAATACTAAGGATGATTAAGTTCATGTAATACATTTAAATCAGAAAAATTTAACCCATCAACCACACAATTCAAATTACAAAACCAGACAAATAAGCCACAAAATAAAAAAATTAAACCCATCAAGGTGGGAATTTAAATCAGAAAAATAAAAAAAAAATTCAATCAAACCCATTAAACCCATGTACAAATAAAAGAGATTTGGATCTTTTTATTTTAGATTTTCAACAAATGATCCACCTTTATAAAAGTGGGACGTTGGTTGTAATTTTAACATGTATAAGGGTGTATTTGTAATTTTAACATGTATCCTTCACTAGGTTTTGAATCCCTCTATTCTGATGGGTTTAGATAAACCTATGTGGGCTGGATTATGGCTGCTGCGTAGTAGACGCCGAGTTTTTGAATCCGACGAGGAGCCCATTCCAAATTTGTCATCCAAACCAAAACCAAGAATAAGTGGACTATTTCACTATTTTAATCTAATTTCACTTTTAATCCCCTTCAGTCCTGTCAAACAAACACCACAAGAGGCATCTTTTAACCCGACTCAAACCACAATATTGTTGACTTTAAAAAAGTAACCAGTGCAAACTTAAACATCTTGTAAAAAAAAAAAAAAACCAAGTATGTATAACTCTTGTATTTGTTGTTGAACAATGTTTATACATATTAAAACTAAAAATAATTTTTTTATAATAAATTAAAGTGGATAAATTCATTAGTAAGTCTTTCGAATTTTCACTTACCATTTAATGCCCCACTTCATTTAATATCCAAAATTTAATTAGATTAATAAAGAGTATAAACATGGTAAACTGAGATCAAATGATATGGCGTTTGTATAACCATGTTTTTTTTAATTTCATTATTTAGTTAGTATTACATTAACCATTTGTTATTGTACACAATATAATTCTTGAATTTTTGCTTACCCAATATAAAAATATAAAAAAAAATAAAAATATTGTAATTAAATATGAGTAATGTTATTTGATTTGTTGACTTGATCACTCATGTATAGTCATTAATTTAACTGTAATTTTCAATTTTATTAGAACTCATTGTCTTTTTTTTTTATGAATTACACTTTATACCTCAAAAGATTTAAATTTTTTTATTTTGTACCCTCAAATATTAAATTTCTTACATTACATTTTCAAGATATTAAAAATATTGTAATGTGACCATTCTATTATTTTTATTACTAGGGTAATTTTTGATTAAATAAGTAATACATTAAAAATAAAAATATTTAATATTTAAGACCACAAAATAAAACATCTTAAATTTTTTGAGATTGGAAGTTAGATTTTCCCTAATTTTTTTTCATCAAATCTACTTAAAAACTCGAAAAGACCATGTATTGACCAGCAAAACCGCCCCCAAGAAACAGAACGAAAAATCATCAAACACGTGGCATCGACAAATCCCACGTGTCAAGCACCCACATTGCCACCTTTATCCTCTCCCTTGTCCACGTTATAAATCAACAATGGCGGAGAAGCGGTGCACATCTGATCAGTAACCGAGAGAGAGAGAGAGAGAGAGAGAGAGAGAATACCTGTAACTATGGCAGCAATGTCTTTCACCAAGAACTCCATCTTCAACCTCTCAAAGTCTTTTCCTCAGTCACCTTCTCTCCCTCTCCGGCGTAAAGTCTCTCGGGTCTTCTTCACTTCTGCCTCCAAATCCTCTGAGGTACATAACTTTACATGTACGAAAATTTTCCTTCCAGTGATCTATCCTCATATGGAGTTCAATTGTGTTTGTGCTTTGAAGGGAAGAAATGCAGCAGATGATGATGATGATTACGTCGGTGATGCAAAGGATAAAGCATCGGAGATGGCCGGAAAAGCAAAGGAAACCATGAAAGAAAGCAAGGAGAAGTCGAAAGTGAGGGCCCAAGAAATGAAGGAAAAAACAAAAGAACACGGAGAGAAAACGGCAGAGAAGGCCAAAGAAGGGATGAGCAGAGCGGCCGAAACGGCGCAGAGTGCGAAAGAGAAAGCCGAAGGGATGAAGGAGAAGACCAAGGACGCGGCGGGGACTATGGCGAAGAAGGCGAAAGAGGGCACCGTCGACACGGTGCAATACACAAAGGAGAAGGCGAAAGAGTATGCACATGGCGCTAAGGAGAAGACGAAGGACGCAGCGGGGACGGTGGCCGATAAGACGAAGGAAGGGGAGAGCATGGCGGCGGATGCGGTGGAGTTTATAGGGGAGAAGGCGAAGCAGACGGTGCAGGGCATTTTTGGGGTAGCAATTAGCGAAGGAGACGACTCAGAAGATCAAGAGAATGTGGTGGGTGGTAAGTCCGAGGAAGACAAGGATTTGGATGATTATATAGAAGATCATGTGAAGAGGAGTGAGAAAGAGAATGGTGGTGGTGGTAAGACTATGGATGAGGATGTGATGGATTTGAGGCGGCGTGGTGGGGAACACGGTGAGAAGAAACATTGAAGGGAGTTCTTGGTTTTGTTGTTTGGAGAAATGAAAAAATAATTTTGTGGTTTTGTTTTAGGTTTTACTATGAATCAAATGTTGTTTGGAGTATGCCAATTGCCAAACCTTTTACATTTGTTTTATATGTTAGCTTATTCGAATGACTGGCTTAGCTTAAGACTATATGGCTACAGCATTGATGGAGGGAATGTTTTTTTTTGGGTTAATATTATAATTAATTCTTTAATAATGTCAGATTGACCAAAATTTGGGATCAAATTTAATGTCCAAATGACATGACAGTTGACTTAGACTTTTTTGATTGGTGTCATGTCTTTTGAGTCCTAATAAAAATTTCAAATAGTTAATTGTCATATCATTTGGACTTTAAATTTGATCTCAAACTTTAGTCAGTGTAGTATTACTCTTAATTTTTCCGTGTCGTCTCTTATCATTATTATTATTATCTATAGCTTTTAATTTTTTAATTATTAATTTTGTGTCAATTAAGTCTCGAAGTTTTTTTCATCAATTTCAATCATGGGAATAACCACATAATAAACACGTGATAAATATGTGAATTTTTAACGACTAAATTTGATAAAATTATCTAATTAACATGAAATTGATAATTTATAGATTAAATTGAAATAATTAAAATTTTATGGATTATTTTACACTAGAAAGTAAGTTTAAGGATTATATATATATATATATTAGGATAATAGACCACAATTCATCTTTTCCAAGAAACGATGAGGAGAAAGGAATTAAATTTGGCATAATCAGAATTAATGTCTTGCCACGCCATGGCTATGAGGCTCATGAAACAGATGCCGTGGCTAGGAAGCTCATGAAACAGTTTGAGATAGTACAAAGGAGAAAGAAGAACAAGAAAGACACATTAGTCAAGTTAGCAGTCTTTCTAGCAGTCCCTGGTGGTGGAACAGAAGTCATTATACATGAAAAGATTTTTTTTCTCAGACCTTCCATAGGATAATCCATCTAAAATAAGATTGGAGAATTCAATTTTGAGTATTGTTTATGTCAAAATTTTGGTTGAATTTGGGTTATATAATTGGTTGAAGTTTTTTAATTGAATAATAGTATTGTGAGATAATTTAGAGATTTAATAACTGTAGTCATTAGATTGTCAATAAATTTTAATATTGAATGCACTTTAATATCAATCTAATGGTCATAATACATTAAGTTTTTAAATAATGTCCCCAATAATATTAGTATTTTTAATTTGTATTGAAATAATGGGTTTGATTATTAGCTGTGAACTCATGTTGGAGATGAATTGACATGACCTAGCCCTCATAGTATGCATCTACTTACTGAGGGGGTGTTGGGTCTATACTCCATATAAACCTCCTAATGCTCTTGTTATTTGTCTCTTCTGTCACTCATCTCTCTTGGTTGATGAGGTCTTTTGTTTCCATTGCCTTAGTTTTGGTGCTCAAGCATAAAGGTCCTGGCTAGTGGGCCTATTTGGAGTAAACATTCATTGTAATGGTTAATCTGCGACAATTCTATCACTTGATATTACCGTTCAATTATAATTAAATAAGTGAATAACATGAATTTTACTTCTTTACATGGAGCGATTACTATCTTATATTGAAATATAATTACGTAAAAAAAGCTTCACTTTATTCACTTGTTGACTTATTATTAAACGGTAATATCACGTGACAACTTTGATATGGTATAACTATTTTTCATTGCAAAGACTATTTGAGCAAGTTGTCCCCTTGAAATTATCTCTGTTTTTAATTTGTTCAACGGTTAAGAGTGTCCAAAATAATTTGCACGCATCTCGACTAATCTCTTCCCGGTCCGGTCAAAAACAGGTCATCCACGCTGAGATTAATGTATTCAACGAGGGATATATATCCCTCATGACTAGATCCCAAAAAATTATCAAGATTCAAATTTAAAATATCTGAATTTATAGTTTGTTCTTGTTATCACTTGAGTTATTAACGAGAGGGTTTAAATTGTCGAAACCAAGCCATAGATCTTCCAATTTCAGACATAGCTTCAGCCTGCTGTGATCGAAGGGCCCAATTGAACTTACAGGTTTCAAGTCTAGAAAAAGTTGGGCCTTTATAATTCTTCACGATGGTCTTGGCTTCATATTCTTCTAGACAATTGGCCTGCGGTTTTGTCAATTGAATCTTCTCGATTTCATTTTGTCAAATTTGATGAAGTTCAATCATTCAACGTTTAATTCATTAATTACTTGTTTTTTTAGGTAGGAATGCACGATTGCATCAAACTAAAATTTTATCCAATGATGTTTCACCTAATTATTATCCGCTTCAAAATAGTCCGCCCTTGTCCTTAATACATAATGATGATATAACAATTTAAGAAATAAATTTAGAATTAGAGAAGCGTAAATAGTGTTGATAAAGCTGGTTCATGTCACCCAAAATGACTGTATGTCCATCAACATCCACTTTTTCTACTCGAGGGTGCTCAGCTTGAAGTTGTGTTCGAGTTTTAGAGGGATTTGAGTATTCCAGATGTTCATGTTCGGTGAACAGTGAGAAAGCGCGTAAGTTAGTATCAGGGTTTCGATTACAAAGTGAGCATTGATGGTAAAATTTGTTTTTTTTCATCTTTTTCAATACAATTTTTCGCTAAATATTAAATCACCCGTCATGAGTTTTGGCTGCGACATACTTATATGGTTTCACAATATATTATAAGTGATCTACTATTAAAGTACAGTGTTATGGCAATAATATTTTTTTTTAGAATCACCGATCATTCAGGAATTCTTTTTTCCATGTTCTAAGGTCTAATTTGAAAGTAGAAAATCGAAAAACTCAAAAAAAAAAGAAAAAAAAAAAAGAGTCGAGCTTGAGAAGGGGTTCTAGAAAAATTGACTAATCGCATTCCAAATAGATTCTATTGGGGATTATTGTCAAACACGTTCTTATTTTTTTGGTTCAACTAGGTGTCCGAGGCCATTTATGTAAATTTTGACTAAATCTTTTTTTGATTCGGTTGAAGATAGATCATTTATGTCGGGATTAAAGTATTCATGAGGTATAAATTTCTTATGATCTAATTCCAAATATAGTCAAAATTTAAGCTCAGAATATCTAAATTTATAACTCATTTTTGTTACCATTTAAGTTATCTCCAGAATTATTGTGGAACACATTCATGACAGAAGTTCTAAAAACTCGAAAGATCGTACTCTAAATTGGTTCATTGGGGATTATTGACGAACACATAAACAGCAGACTTATTAGCCATTAATGAGTAACTCTAGTGTTTGTCACAGTGTTGTGTCTGTGGAGCAGTTGTAACCTCTAACGGACACAAGCGTCACCCACAGGGTCCAACCCACTAATCACGTGATCTTCTTCCGTGATGTCGATTGGGGCACGCGCCACATTCTCACAGCAAAACTCGTTAATTCTTATTTGGAGAGAGAGAGAGAAGTTCATACAAATGCGTATATGAATTTGTAACCTCCAACTCTGTGTCACGATGAAAATCACGTGGTTTAAGATTCGAATTTGATTACATATTTACACTTGTCGTCTGTCTTTGGAGTTTGTGTAGGTGATGCGATGAAATCTTGAACACGTGCCTCTTTTAGATTAAAATTTGTATGAGAATTTCAACGAAAATTCAACTAAATTTAGATATCAAGCACATAACACTACTACAAATATATACGCTGTTAGTGTGTTTTATCTTTACCATATACAACTAGATTAGACATGGGACGTAATTACAAGCATATTAGTGCATGTGAATATTGGTCATATAAATTTGGACTGAAAGAAATTTGAATGATGAATCTCCAGCCCAAATTAGACAATGAGAAATCACACGTTTAGTATTCGATTGTGTATCTGCCATAGTTTGCAAAAGGGATGTGATCCGGGCCATATGAATCTTGTTGTGTAACTGTTTTAAATTAAAATTCACCATACAAATTTCAATTCAAATTCGAAAGATCATAACGTCAAGTTGGTAATAAGTGGAGATTTATATGGTCTTACCAACTAGGCCTACGTGAAGATTTAATTCTATCTCATCAACTCTCAAACATGTCAGTTTAGTATAGAGATAACATGGGCATGCAAAAAATAAAATGGGCCACTAAATTTCATTAGGGTAACATTATTTTCCATTGCTCTTTTTTCATAACTTCGGATTTCTATCATTGCAGATAGAGAAAAAAGTTCATCTACTTGAGCTATTTTAATAAATTGAGTTAACAATAATGCTAGCCTTGGGACTATCATAAGGATAAAGGTCGCCAAGGTGTGCTATAAAAGTGAATTTGAGAAAACAGTGGACAGGGTGAAGAAGTGGACTAATGGGTATCTCTCTTTTGATGGAAGACTTCAGTTGATCATATCAGTTCTGAACAACATGCACATATTTTGGTCATCCCACTTGTTCCTCTCCCAACTAATCTTGGGCAAGGTTGAGTAAATATTGAGAGCATTCCTTTGGAAGGTCACTAATCTTGGGCAAGTATAGCTTGGCAAGAGGTTTGCAAGTCAAAGAAGGAAGGAGTTCTGGGTATACGAAGGTTGAAAGAGTGGAACACTGCATTGATATTTATGGATATTATTGAAGGATAAGGAAGGAGTATGGACAAAATGGATGTTACCCCTCAACAATGTTCATGGAACTGGATGATTTTTTTGAAGATCAGAAAGACTATTAGACCATTTATAACCCGCATCGTAGGGAATGAAAATACACGTCTCTGGTTTGATAATTGGCACCCGCATGGTCTATTACTATCTAAATGGTTCCACAACATTATTCAAATAGCCAGCTTACCAAGGGAAGCTAAAGTCAATTAAATTATATCTAATAATCAACGGAATTGGCCTATTTGATCAAATGTGGAAATGTTGAAAATTTAGAATGCTATGCTCGCTTGTCTGCCTAATCATGAGAGGGAGGATATAGTACTATAATTGCCCTTGAACACTAACGGAGAATTTTTCACAAATTCTGCTTCGAATCATCTCAGGGAAGTGTATCCAAGTATTAGGTGGTACAAATTAGTTTGGTTTAATCAAGCTATTCGAAGAATGAGGTTTATTCTATGGCTTGCTATAGGGCAAAGATTCAAAGGATAGACAACAAGCTTGTTTTACTCATTCAGGAATTGAATGTCTGTTGTGCAGTACAAGTAATGAAAGTCATGTCCACTTTTTCTTTGAATGTAGTTCTCAAGCAGAATTTGGACATAATTCATGCACCAACTGGATTAAAATTGGCAGCACAAAACATGGCCAAATCTCATTTCATGGACTTCCAACAATGGAAAGGTGAATCTTTGTTGATGGTATTGAAGAAATTGAGTTTGGCTATTGTTGTATACTATATATGGAGGGAAAGGAACAATATATCTCATGCTAACTAAACTAGGGACTCTCTCTCTCTCCGTTTTGGGGGTCATTACTCTCCTTCCCTTGGTATTTAACATTCTAAAAAACTGCCAAATAAAACGTGTCTCAAGCCGAAATATCATAAGTATCGCCTCGTCCTGAGCCGTCGGACAAAAAACTCATCCTGCCCTTTTAGTTCTCCCTACCACGAGGGCTGTAAAGAATCTAATTCCTTCCTCCCTTTCTTCCCCTGTTCCAGAGATAGATATTGCCCTTGGATGTTAATAATGATAGACAGAACTTATAATTTGAGGCAATTCTCAAGGAATTTTTGATTCAAGAACACTCGGAATAAGAGGATTGCCCAAAAATGGTTTCTACCAAGTTGCTATTTTACATGAATGTCCCCTTTTGTAACTAGTATAGATCGTAGATAATACTTTGTTTATATTTTGGATATTACTTCTTTAATTTGTTTGGAATATTTACCAAAACATAGCACCTTCTACGGTTAAACCTGTAAATAATAGAATTACTATATCTCATTGTATTGCACTAAATTTCTTTTTGATCAATTGAACATTACTTTCTAGTATTGAATTTCATTCATTGCTAATCCAAGCCAACGGTGAATATATTTAGTTTAGTTAATAAATTATTTCCCAATAAAGTTACTGTTGAGCTATTAGATTAGAAGTAGTACAAACACATGCACTCTTCTCCACCTAAACCTAGGAATACTAATGGGATTGAGGATAAAATTGTCTTTTGGACAATATGGGACGTCGGACTTACCATGGATGGGCATTCAACAGACCCAACATGATCTCATACAAAGAACAGAAAAATAATGGAGTAGAGGTCTCAAGAGACTGTACATACACAGAAAGTGGGATGGGAGAGATAGAGAGAGAAAGTAGATAGAAACTAGGAGTTCTGACACAGCCACCACGGTAGACAACCGCCACGCCACCATGGTGGGCCGCTTCGCCTCAGTCTCTGCAAACCAAGCCCCGCCTAGTGGTCCACAGACCTCCTGCTCCTATATCCTCTAACTACAAGTTGATCTATAACTTTTTGTTCTCTTCCTTCTTCTTGGTTTTTCTCTCTCTAGCTAAGACTCATGTATTCTCTCTCATCTCTTTCTTCCGTTTTTCTCGATCATAATCTGAAGTGGGGTTTGTGATTTAATTCATATTCTGCCATTTTTAAGCATAGGACCCTCTGTTTGAAGCTATTGAACTGGGAATTTTGGGTTCTTTATTGAGCTTGGATTGAACCTAAACAAAACCATTTCTCTATTGTCACTGTACTCTCACTGAACTCGTTTCACATATATATATGCACACATGTTCTCTCTTGTTCTCACTCCAAAATAAAGACTTCTCCTTTGTGGGTCTGTGACTTTGTCTTCGTGCAGCAGCTCTCTCTCTCTCTCTCTCTCTCTCTCTCTCAGGTGGAGGAAAAAGAGCGGGTGGGTTATGCAATTATTCCTTTTCTCCACATCTCCGCGTTTTCTCTGCACCTAACCCTCATTTAGGAGGTGAATCTGAGCAGATTTTGTGATGCCAGGTAGAGATTTAGTGCTTGAATTTTGTTTTGGCTTTTTTTGAACTATTTAAAACTCTTGTGTTTGTGGTGGGTAGGTGGTGAAATAAATCTGCACATGCAAATAGCCCTTTGTTTTCCAATCTGTATTTGATTCCCATAATCCAAACAGACACGTTGAGTCCAATACATATCCCTAAGGTTGAAACGGCTGTGAACTTAACCTACAAGTGCATGCACTAAAAGCATCCCCACCATAATCTGATACCCTACAGACTAGAAGCCAAGAAACGAGATCAGTATAAACATACAAACACCCACAAACACACAGGGAGAGAGAGACACAGAGAGGTCTGTAGAGAGAGGGAGAGATGGAGCAAGGAAGAACAGAAGAGGGAACGAGTGAACAGCAAGATCAACAGCAGCGTCGATTGAAGCCGTCGGAAAATCCTCTCAACCATCTACCACAACAACCTCAGAAATGCCCTCGTTGTGATTCTCTCAACACCAAGTTTTGCTACTTCAACAACTATAGCCTCACTCAGCCCCGGTATTTCTGCAAGACTTGCCGGAGGTACTGGACTCAAGGCGGAACCCTACGGAACGTCCCTGTTGGTGGTGGTTGTCGTAAGGGAAAGCGGACCAAATCCTCCTCCTCCTCAGGCGGTGAGAATTCAAGAACTCAATCACCACCACCACCGCCACCACCTCAACAACACATACAAGTTCCTTCAAATTTGACAACCATGCATATGGCAACGATGCTTCCGGGTAGTTCTAGTCTACCCACAAATCAAGCTTTCAGGAACAAAGAACTTGGTAAGTTGGGTTTGCCTCCGGCGATCCCACCGATGAGTTCTTACAATTCTGGTGGTGGGTTTTTATCTTCTTTGGCAGCCATGCAAGGACTCGATCAGACACTCAATTTTGGTGGCCAATTTGGTGCTGGGGCTTCTAATTGGGCTCTCTTACAAGGGCTCAATGTTCCTTCTTGGAGGTCACAACAGGTTCACTCCCAGCAGATTGAGCAGGAGAGAGATTATTATCAGATGGGTAATCGAGAAAAGAACACAGACCCCATGTACCCATCTGATCAATTGGTTCAACCAAGTAGGACTATGGGTTCATGGACTCATAGCTTCATCAACACCACAAACCCTTCAGGCTCCGAACCCAATTTCTGGAACAACACCACCAGTCACACCACCAGTACCAGCAGCGCCACCAACACAGGGTCTTCTATGAACCCAAATCAATGGCCTGATCTGCCAGGCTATGGCGGCCCTCCATGAGTTTTAACATTCTTGTAGCCATCTCAAGCTCCACATCAGCTACCAGAACAGCACAAATGTTAGAGAATTTCTTGGCTTTCGTATACAACTTCCATCGAGTCTTCTTTATCTTTTTTTTTTTTGTTTTTTTCACTTGATTTGGTTTTGGGTATATGGTCTTTAGTTTTCATTATAGAACATGGATTGGATAGGTTTTTGGGATGTGGAAATTAATTATATGGAGAAATATTGAGAAAAATAGTTTGTTGTTACCTTACTTATACAAAAAATTTGGGTTGGGTTAGGTTTGTATGTTGAACTTTTGATTAATGTTTTGAACTTTTCTTGTGTTGCTTTAATTCTGCGCTTTAATGTTAATGTTGTAGAATACTGCTAGTTGGTGAAAAAGAGGGAAAGCGTTGCTTTACTGCTTTGGAGTATAACTAAGGCTTGTAGACTGGTATGGTCATGGTCTAAAAGCAGCACTTAGGTGAAAAGAATGATGTGCATGGATAGGTGCGAAAGTGTCGTCGTGGGTGGAAAACTTGATAGACAAAGATGGGTTTTTTGGTGCTTGTGGGTTCCTAATTTGACCGACTGTTATATTACTTTTTTACTTTTTTACCAAGAAAAATGTGTCGGAGGAATAGGAAACTTGGCTCTTATGGCTGGCTCTCTTTTAATGAATTCATTACCAAAATACTGTTATTTTTAAATAAAAATATCAATTTATTTATCAATTTATTACCATTTTTAAAAGTAAAATTGTTGATTTCACTTTTAACACGATTCTGCTTTCAAAAAGTAATACAATAAAAAAGAAAAAAAATATTTTTATAAGTATTAAAAGTGTTCTTATTAATTCCGCTTTCTCGGTGAAAGCGGAATTATTGATTTTATTTTTAAAAATTACAATAGATCAAGAAATAAATTGAAAAGTACGATAGATCAGTATTTTTGTTTGAAAATATCAATATTTTGGTTATAGATTCTTCTTTTAAACCATCAGCTAGCTCTCTCTCTCTCTCTCTCTCTCTCTCTCATGAAATTAAGATTTTATTTCCTTTTAGTAGGAGTGATAAACGAATCGAACTAACGAGTTGGAGATCAAATTTGACGAGTTCACTTTTTAAAGCGAGTTTAAAAAATATTCAAGTTCAAGTCATTTTTAAAAAATGAGCTCGAGCCAAGTTCAAATTAAGTCGAACTCAAGTCGAGCTTGAATAATTCAATTATTTTATCCATAAATGAGCTACATTTTGTGAGTTCTAAGCCTAAAATAAATTGAATCTAAATTGAGTCTAAGTAGTTCAGAACGTTTACCGCCCTCACCTTTTGGTAGCCATAGCTCTCTAGACCCTTTTCTAGATCTATATATTGTTGGCTTCCAAATGCATGCATAATTTCTAAATTTAGGTTATATTTAATTTGTTTCATTTTGAATTTGTGGTGATTTACTTATTAATCTTAATCTAATTTATTTAATTAATCATATCAAATATTTTGACACCTAATTCGATCTATATTTTCATGTTATATTCGGATTGATCTAGTGGGCGGAGCCATGTTATGGCCTAAGGGGTCCATGACCCCCCTCAAATCATTAAATTTTGGTATTGTATAAATTGGTAAATTTTATATTATTTTAAATTATTAATGGTGCAATTGATTTGAATTTTACGTCTAATAATTCAACTTGTTTCAATTAATTTTATTCATTTTATTAAAAATAATAATTATAATATACCATGTGAGATTGATTCTTATGTATTCTATGTATGTAAATGTCATTACATTAACGATCGAATTAAATAATTCAAAGTGAATAAAAATATCTTGCTATACCATTAAATGGCTCCCCTCAAGAGAAAATCTTGACTCATCCCCTCATTTTATGATGATACATGTTAATGTCTAATAAAAAATAATATAAATCAAACATTTTATTCGATATCAATTAAACCTATTTATCATGTCAAATTCTAATTATGTTTGTTTGACACTATTTATCATTCGTATTACTACCTTGTGTTATTCTCGAGTTCATATTGAAAATTAGTTAATTATAATTTATTAATATTATATCAAATTTATGTCGTGTCAAAAATTATAATATCTCTAGTGCAGATTATTTTTATCTTTTTTTTGGCTAGTTGAAAAAGGGGTTAAGGCAAGGAAGAGCGTCAAGTGATCACCCCATTAGACTCTCACCGATGGGATCATAAAACCCTTGACCACGTCTAAAACACCTCTCAGGATCAAACCAAGTTAGACTAACATAGCGATCAACCACCGAACCCTAATAGAGACTACATGACTCAAACTCTCAACCTCTAGGTAAGGAGTAAGATCGGTACCACCACTAGAACACTCTACTCGACAGTACAGATTATTTTTATCACTATGATATAGAAGCACCAAACTTGTTTAAACGAAAATCAAGTACTATTTGTTACCAAAAGAAACTAATATATTTACTTAGTGAAAAAAACAAAAAAGAAACTAAAGTATTTTAGCTATTTATCAAAAAATTTATTTTTTATGAATATTATAGTTTCAACGTGAATGATCTATCTTTAAACGAATTACAGAGAGGGTGGGCTAATCAAGGTGCACGATCCAGATATTTTTTACCGTTGAAAAAAAAAAAAAAAGGGTAGTCTTGGTTGGTTGACGTAAATAGCAAGCTGTTGTGAGACTTCGCATGGTTTCCCATGATTACCCTATAAACTTGATAATGCTATATACGTCTACAAAGATTGAAATGATCAATGGTTTTGGTTGATGAAAGAGTGGGCACACCTGTTCCAAGGAATCTGTTGTTGAACATTTCCAAACTGACCAACCATATGACCCTCACATAGGCTTTAAGGTACTATAACATTTTATTTTTTTAGCTTAGCAGGTTTTATAATATTGCTTACGTTAACGAAGGATTGTACGCTTCTCTTTATTACAAATAATTTTCAAATTTGTATGTGCAATTGAGGAAAGGTTACGGTAGTGCCGGCGGTATGGTACAAGATATATAATTTTTTTAAGATTAAATTATAATTTTAAAATATATAATCGATAATGGAAGGTTGAGATCGATACTGAAATTTTTGTGATTGATCATAGGTTTTTACGATCGATCATGACCTTCACTTGAGTAGGTGTAACTTCTTCTTTTAAAATTATAATTTTACCCATAAAAAACGATAACCAGTGGTACAGTACCGAAATATTTCTTTTCGGTACCTTAGACTTTCCCGTGTAATGTGAAGAAAATTCTGAACTGGTTTAACACACCAAGCGGCTGTCACGTGGTGTGTACATCTCCCGTGAGAGGTTGCCATGCATAAAACGGGACTCATTAAAAGTGGGGTGTCCAACGTGTTAAATTAAATGGTTACGATTAAACGGATGAAAAACATGTAAACTCGTTTATCCCGTTTAGTTTTAATTTATTATTAATTTTTTTTTTGTGACTGTCAATAAATTAAAAGAAAAATTGTTGCTATCACTAAAAATCACATATATATATTTTGTGGCTGTCAATAAAAAAAATCTGTCTATTTTTTAAAATATTTATTAATTTTATTTAAACGGATGATAAACGAGTTGACAAGACTCACTCGAACACGACCTATTTATTAAACATGTTTGACGAGTCAACCCGCTTATCACCCGAACCCATTTAATTCGTGTCGTGTCGGACTTTGACAGACTTACTCACAAGTTAATTTTTTTTATAAAAAAAATTAACAAAGTAATAGGTGATAGTTATTTATTGAGGACATATAATATTTTATTAGTAATTTATACCACTTAATAATGTCATGTAACGTGTTAAATCCGACAAAAAAATTATAGGGTAATGTGAATTTGTGGAAGGGAATGAAGGGCTTGGAAGTGGGATTGTGGTTTTCGAGTAATGAATATCTTTTGTCTGCCACGGGTTGGGATTCTTCCAAAGAATAATAGCAGGGAGTACCTCTCTTGAGTAATGAGTCGTGTGAGTAGGTTTTGTGTCCTATTTAAGTCATACTGTTATGTTATCAAATTTACTTATAATCTTATAAAGTTAGATTTATTTAATGTCAAACTCATATTGTATATGTAAACCGATTTATCAAATTTGCAAGTCGTGTTTAAAATTATTCGATCTAATTTTAGGATAGTCTCATAAATACTATAAGCGCATGGAACCGAGTTTATATACATACCAATAAGAAAAGTACAAAACAACAATTGTATTAGAGGCAGATTTTAAAAAAATCTGCTCTATAGTAATTTAAGTGTCACGGGTTCGTATCTCGAAATTAATTTATGTGAATTTAAGAATAAAATTGTGCATATCTAAATGATTTTCGGTATCTAAAATTCAGAAAAATTCTTGAATATGTTAATTCAATGGTATGGAGTGCCGTATGATATGACCAATCTTATCAAGATATTAATACTACAAACAATAATTCATCTACGATTGCCTGTTGTACAATGCCTGTGGGGGTTATTAAACCGACTGTTCTAAGAGATCTGGACTTATTTGTTACCAAATAATTATAAATTACGGTTAATTCGTACTTGAAAATAAATACGGTGTAACATTTAACAACGGATCAAATTGTGATTCTAATTCACACTTCGACATAAAACCCTAGAAATTTTAACTGCAAAATTTTTCAAGAGCCTAGGACGTGGCTCTTCTAGGGTTTTGAGGTATAGCTGAGTACATTTTTTGGGCAATTTTATCTCTCGAAATCTGATCCGAGTAAGAAATAAGGGTGATTGTCGAAATCTATTTTAATTAGAAAATTGGATTTTTTTAAAAAAAAAATTGATTAGATTCGAGAAAATTAGGTTTTTTTAACACTATATGTATTTTATAAATTTTGCAATTCATATACAATATAAATAAGAAATTCATAGTTACGATGTAATTAAAATCGTGACAATATTGATATCTCACAAAAAAGTTTCAACCTTTCCGAGATCGTTTCACATGTGATTAAAATTTATATATATATATATATATATATATATACACCTATTAAATATAATAAAACAGAATAATTAGGAGTACTATTTTCTTAGCCCACAAATGGTACGATAGGAGATGAATAGTTAGGGGGTGGCGGAGGAACTATAGAGGAGCATTAAGAGCTACATGAATTCTTAGGTGATGTCCTCATAATGGAGCTAATTAAATATATTATTAATTGCTTGCCATTATTTTAGTCATAAGTGAAAGTATT